ACTTTAAGATCGCCCTCCGACCCTCCACTTCAATGTCTTCACCTCGCATCGCACAGCCCCTTAATTATCTTTTTGGAAGACGCATCAAGAAGCCAAATCAAAGTCCAGCGTTCGCTCTCATGGTGACGGTACACTTTACCATCCGAACCGAGTAACCTGCTTACTGTAGCAGAAAATTCCATGCTAAGGCCAAAAAAAAAAATATTCGGTCTCTGGTCAGACCAAAGTTCCGGAATTGACGCGGCCACGCGGCTTTTTTTTTTTTTTCTTCAAGCTTGGATTGTACAGACAAGGTGGGGTACTATTTTGCTTTTTTGGTGTCCTCATGTACATTGGTGTCCTTCATAATTTGCCTTGGTGCTCTCTATCATTTGCCTTGGTGCAATTTCCCATTCCTTGGTGCTCTTTGGTAAAAAAAAAATGAGGAGGTGCGGAAATAGAGGGCACTGTTGGAGCTACCGCGGAACATTTTGGAAAAAAAAAGATCGACGCGCATGATTAAAATCGACGCGCGCGCTGACCAGAGACCGACTTATTTTTTTTTTTGGCCTAATACGGTGAGCGTATTTCACAGGTAGCGAGAAATGTTGGCTTCTGCGCATGCGTACATCCCGTAACTATATGGAGTTTGTGCTCACAGGTTTAGCACAAATTTTCTGCTAGCGCTGTTGGTACAAAATGCTGATTGTAAGTGTGGAATTTTGCGGTTAGCAGAGATATAAAATTGGGCCCATTTACCGTTCACCAGAAAGTTCATATGCTGGTAAATAATAACTGAGCATGTGACGGTAACGTGCTCGATTATCCACTGGGTTTGACCACAGAGATCAGCACACCGGAAAACTGATTGGCCAGCCAGTTTTGCGGCCAATTCGCAAAGGATGGCAGGGGGTGTAGTATTCATTACTCTGAAAGGCACCCCATACTTAATACCATACAGCCCCCAGGCTTAAAATGACATTTCCCCCGGACTTCCGATTTTCAGCCGGCGATTGTTTACTGGTCTGCAACCCTATGTTCCATCAAGAGACGTCAAGTGATCGTCGGGTCAGGAACCAGACTAGTTGAGGCGGTAATTTTTGAATTAGTAAATATCGAGGACATCTTAAGTTGGGAAAAATCCGGACGAAAATGAAGCAATTACCTCGAACAAACGATAGCGCGAACCTTTTTCCAGGAAAATTCAACCAACCCGCATACCAACTCTTGAAAGTTGAAATAGGCCCTAATTGTGGTCGATCGAGGAACTGAACATACTGCAAAAGATAGGTGTGTACTATTATGGATTCACTAAGTATTCAACAGTTCACCGTGTATTATTCCAAGCTTGTTTTTCATTGGAAACTCTTATTGTGTTTTGGAAGACACTATTTGGAACACCCACGCTAATTGGGGGTGTTGGTCCGGTTCTTCAAAGCAATCTTCCAAACAACTGGACTCCTTTCAAGTACATGTACCTGCTAAGAAGAAAATAGTACTCAGCACAATTACGTGCTAAGCAGATATGAGCTGCTAACCAGTCACAGGCAACACACGTAACATGCAGTTTTGGCTGGTAACCGCTTTTGTTCAGCAAATGATTGTTTTCTGTACGTGAACATTGCAAATAGCTGTGCTAGCAGCTCCCGATATCGGCCCCAAGTAAGTGAGCTCGGTTGGTTGGGCGTGTCCGCGCTTTTTGTCCGTGTGCGCAGACGCGCTGACCTCGGGGTCACGGTTGAACGAGATCTCGCCAATGAGAGCTCTAAGGAATCAGCCGTTGTATGCTATAGACTTTATTCACGAGACGGCCATATTAAATTATTAAATTGAAAGCGAGGTAAGGTTCTCGTTTTTTTGGAACTTGCGAGTAGAAATTAAAGCAATGAAATAAAAGTTCATTACCAGTTAGTGCCAGTCTGCTCTGATGAATAATTTTAAATGTGTGATTTAAACACATCCTAATGTTTTAAGCCACATTGTCAAAAAAACAATTAAAGTGAGGCTCGGAACGCTAAATAGTCTGGCACCATCACATTAATCATACACTCAAGGAATTACACGAACACAAATGGATTCTCCTTAATATGGTCCATTGGCCCAACCTCGTCCCCAGGGTGTCGAGCAGTACGCGCCCACCACTACCTGCTCTCTCACCCTGGTATTGGATCATTTGCATGTGCAAGATTTTTGAACACGTATGCAAATTAGGAGTAGTCTGGTGCCTGCCTGTGCGTTACATTTGCGTTTGTTTTTGTATGCGGTGTCTGGGGTAAAAACAGAATCAATTCGTCGCAGCGCGAGCATGGCGTGAGTTACGAAAACATGATTTTATTTTAATTAAACTGTTACGATCTTAACGAGACAACATGCAGTATCACATTTCATATTAATATTAACAAACTGGAAAGGAAATGAATATTTTCGAGAAGGCGTGGACGAATGATCGCGAAAACACGTACTGCACGTTGTGAATAACAACACCAAGTACACGATATAAATCCATTTCTAGCCAATTGCGGTATCGAATCAGGATGCAGGAAGGAAGTTTCCTATCCAGGGTGTACTATTGGAAACAACGTTGGAAATAAAGTAAGCACTGGGGAAGAGGTTGCCATTGGCCCGATGCAGAATTAACAAGTGAGCTCGGTTGGGCGTGTCCGCGCTTTCTGTGCGTGCGCGCAGACGCGTTGACCTTGGGGTCACGCGTTGAACAAAATCTAGCCAATGAGAGCTCCACGAAATCAGCCGTTGCTTTTACCAACGCCAACGCCCTGGATAGGACGTCGCGGAGAGTGAGATCGACAGGACGTTTGGTCCGTGAAAAGCCGGTGTCACATGAAAATCCGACTCCTATGAAAATTGGACCCCTTTTCCCTTTTATTGGTTAATCCCTCTCACGTGACCGGTCATTTTCCTAATTATCATACTTACGCATGCGCAGTATTACCAATGAGTCCGATTTTCATACAAACCTAAATTCACGCTACACCGGCCCCACAGACGTCGATATAGAATATTCACACAGAACAGGAGAGCTTCAAGATATTCCTCACTGTTATTTTTACCCTCATCTTTACAGTGGAAAATGTTGTTGTTTTTTTAAACAATGAACTTGACACGTGATTAAAATATAGGAATTGCCCGGAAACGCACCTGCCCGTTTAATGAGAAAACCATGCACAAAGTGAAGGTAATAGGGATGGTCCATAATACTCTGTGAAGTTATTCCGTCAGAAATGGTTTCGATCGAAAGAACACACTCATTGAAAATTGTTAATAAAAAGTGGACCCTTATGCGCGTTAGCAACGGAATCCAATACGAGACCTCGAAATGTACATGTTTTCTGTCTTCTCAAAATGTATACATGTATACACTAATTACCCGTCTCACTTTAATGTGTTTTACATTTAGAAAAGTTTTGAACGGAAAAGCACTGTACCGGTGTAGCATGAATTTAGGTTTTATGAAATGCGGACTCATTGGTGGTGTTGCGCATGCTCATGCATAGGTAATTAGGAGAGGGACCGGTCACGTGAGAGGGTTTAACCAATAAAAGGGAAAAGAGTCCGATTTTCATACGAGTCCGATTTTCATATGACACCGGTACCATTTCAAGAAAACACATGCATTGCATCCACATTACATGTAGTTTGTGGACACGATCGCGGGGAAAATGGCTCTCCGCAAAAGACAAGCTTCCGGATAATACGAGGAAGTTTAATAACTAAGTCCGGAGAACCTCGTAATAACGAGAGTCGACTCTGCACACAGCAGCCACTGAGCTAACATTTCATCGTACTGAAGATTTTCAGCAATTTTGTGGTTTAAAATTTTAAAAAAAAGGCAAACTGAGCATATGGTCCTATGTAAGTTGGCTAGAACTACCTTTGGTGCAGAGTATTCACGACATAATACGATTATCAGCGGAAGAAGTTGAAGAGGGAAAAGTACAAAGTTCAAGTCTTTCTGACAAAAATACCCGACTGATACAAAAAGTAATAAACACGATGTATTTTTAATTATTCTTTTTTTATCTTTTTTGGGGGGATTAACTATATAAATGTGTATGAATGTCTCAATTAGGCCTTTGGCCGCGATGACGTTTTATTTTAATAAACCATAATAATAATAATAATAATAATAACACGATTTATAGCGCGCATTTTCGCAAGTAACAATGCGCGACTAAGGACAACTCCAGAAGACAAGTTACAGATTATGTGGAGAAAACAGATCAGTTTTCAGTCTGCCCTTAAAGTTGTCAAGAGAACTGATGTTGCGGATGTTGTGTGACAAGGAATTCCAGCATCGGGGACTAGACACTGAGAAGGCCCTGTCCCCTGCCTTTTTGAATGTGCGTGGAACTCTAAGGTTGTTACTGGAGCGGAGGCCACTACAGCTGGGTGCATTAAGGTTGAATGATCCCATTATGTACTGCGGCATTGTGTTATGAAGTGCTTTGTGCATGAAAACCATTTCAAATAAAAAAAAAATATCCAAAAAAACGATGGTAGTTTTGTAAGATTTCTCAAGCACGAGATTATTTCCCATTGGGCTGGTCACCAAAACGCATTGCAAAAAAAATGAGCCTTTTCGCTGAAATTAATACATCACAACAAACACGAGCGTACAATTAATTTGTGACGTAATGCGCAAGTATCTGTGATGAACTTGTGATGGACTTGCGTTGGACTTGTGATGGACTTGTGATGGACTTGTGATGGACTTGCGATGGACTTGCGATGGACTTGTGATGGACTTGTGATGGACTTGTGATGGATTTGTGATGGACTTGTGACGCACTTGTGATGGCCTTGTGATGGCCTTGTGATGGACTTGTGATGGACTTGTAATGGACTTGTGATGGACTTGTGATGGACTTTGGATGACTTGTGATCCATCACGAGTGCATCGAATACAACACTGGAAAAAACCTATACCTACACACACACAAACTCGTTCGTTCGTGCGTGTGGTTGCCTACAAACTGCAGAAAGGAGAGAAAACACAAACTTACTTGGGTAGTACAGGTCCACTTGGTTAGCGAAGCCCGCCAGGTCCCCGTCCCCATGCTCTTCGGTTGTATTGTCATGACTTTTTTTAGGGTTGGCGTCCGCTGACGGATCGTACTCCGCTAGCACCCCGAATAACACGAGAAACACCAACTGGAACGCCAGCAACAGCACGGTCAACTTGCCTCGGGTCCAGGCCATTTTCCTGATGACGAGAAATGTTTACACAGATTTCCAATCGATACAGAAAATAATTGTGTTTTCTTGTTTTAGTGGATTTTTCCTCCAGGAGTTCGACTGACTTGTAGTATTGAGTACGATTACACCGGAGCGTAGCCTGCACTTGTTGCCACCGAGGTCGAAACAACTTGACGACGGTTAGAATTGTCCTGTTCTCGCGCACGGCGACCGGGGTCACACCACTCAGCACCAGATTACAAGTGCGAAACTGTGACAGACCAGTTTTTCAGCTCTGTACTTTCAAGGTCCCGATAAAAAAAATCGTGATCACACCCACAAGCGCAGCCAATGAAACCGACTGTGCAAATCACATGACACGGCTGATAATTTATTCTCTTTTTTTTCTGAATGAACAAATTTTGTCACCTGATTTCAACTTTGTACTCTCTAACTAAGGCGGAGATTCCGATCACGTGACCGCACTGATCGGCATAGGAGTTAACCTTGTCCGAAGGTTTACCTCTTGGCTCCTTTTCAATTTCAGGTCAAAAGCCTTTTGTCATGGTCAGACGGTCGATTTATCAAATGACAATATGCATGTACATATTACATGTACTCGTATTTTTATACATGCATACTACCGTTTCCCGCTTATACAAGCACAACTCCGCACGGATGATCTGGAGTTCTTGTTCACAAAAGCAAATCATCGCACAGGTGTCGCGTGCTCGTGTGGGCGGGGCTACAAGTAAATCTTTCGTTATCACAAGAGGGCGCCAGAGCGCCAAAATTTCTTCACTTGATTGAACGAAAATTAGACTACTCTAGTCAACTTTTTGTAAGCGGACTTAGCGGAGCGAGTGGCGCGGGGATCGTTAAGTTAAGTCACAAATTCATTTCTACTATAGGTTTTCCCGGCTATTTTTAAATTTTTAAAACGTTTCTAATATTCAAATTCGTGCATCAACAGCGATTTAGTGCACTTCCAATGTTTAATTTCGTCTTTTGTCAGACAATTTTTTTTAAGCAAAACCTCGTAATTCAGAAATCAAATTTGTCTAATTGATTTATATCAGACGAATGTCAAACAGGGCGCTGGGAAGGGCTGATGAGCTTCACAGTCCCAATTCAAGTCACATACATGATGTACTTCTTGTATGAGCTTTGACAATGGAATTGCTTGGCTCTTCGCTCGTACCCCCGCCCTGCAAACAGGGCGCTGGGAAGGGCAGATGAGCTTCACAGAATCTTGTGCCAAAGTGGGGCTGGCATTCTGGGTAAAATATCATGGCCTATGTATAAATCATCTGGCTGCAGCTGTAGACCGCGGTTAGCCAATGCGCGCAAATGCTATCCGAAAAGTTTGCCATAGAAATACATACACACCATACCGGATGTGATTTCTTTTTCATGTGGACCATGTGGACAGATTTTGAGCGTTGACTGATATGCATTTCGACCCTTCGTGAATACGGGCGATTCACAATAGTGCGCCTCCAAGAGTTTGCAACGCGTTGGCCAATCACACTGCGCAAAATCTGTCGACCCAATGTGCGTTTGGAAAAGGTCGACTGATTTCGCGCATTGTGATTGGCCAACGCGTTGCAAACTCTTGGAGGCGCACTATTGTGAATCGCCCGTATTCCAAACGGAGCCTGAGCAATTGACGGGAGTTGAAAATTTACAAAACAGATTTTCCTTCATAATTATGTTTTTCAACCAAAAAGGGCACCGCATTTATGAATGGGAATAAAAGAGTGATGAATCAGTCTTAACGGCCGTTTCAAACCTTATAGGCAGGGTCGTGGTCGTCATGACTTGCAGGTCACAGGTCTCGCAAAATCTATCCAATCAGAGCGTTAATTCGTCATCAGCCCTACCCAGCGTCCTGTTTGCAGAGCGGGGGTGCGAGCGAAAATGGGCTCGTGAATGGGAGACTTTTGAGAAGTTGGTGGCAGCAAACACACCGGCTCGTACCCCCGCCCTGCAAACAGGACGCTGGGATACTCTGATGAATTCACGCTCCGATTGGATAGATTTTGCGTGACTTGTGACCGCAAGTCATGACGACCACGACCCTGCAAGGTTTGAAACGGCCGTTAAGACCGAGTCATCACTGTTTTATGCCCATTCATGAATGGTTTTTTTTTCGTTGAAAGGCGTAATCATTTAGGAAAATCTGTAATTTTTTAATTCCCGTCAGTCGATCGCTCAGGCTCCGTTTTGAATTCACCAAGGGTCAACTTGCATATCATACGACGCTCAATTTTTGTCCACATGGTCCGCAATGAAAAAGAAATCACATCCGGTATGGAATGTGTGCATTTCTAAGAGAGTTTATAGGAAGTTTGTAGGAAGTAAATAGGCAAAATGTAACTTTTGTGTTTCTCCAGGACTTTTCGAAACACAAACTTCATTGGCTACCAATCCAGTACCGCATCCATTACAAAGTTCTCCTTCTTACTTTCAAAGCTCTTCATGGCTTAGCCCCACTGTATCTGAAGGAAATGGTTCAACATCGTCAACTGAGACCAGGTCTCTTCACACGCCAACTAAAGACCTACCTCTTCAATCAGTTTCTTTCTCACACATAATGACCTCTACCCTCACACACACTGACTTTTCACTGACCGGCGCCTTTGAATGACTATTTTTGTCAGATACTGTGCGCCTTACAAATGCTTTGTTATTATTATTATTATTTATACTAAACTCCAAAAATTAACATAAACAACAAAAGGCGTTGATATTACACTGCGTGACGTACATACCTGTTGGGTGCGGGTGATGCTGCGCCGTTCCGGAGTTGCTGAAATGCACACGACTGCTCGCTTACTGCACGCTGTAACGATGTACCAGCAACAAAAATATGATGGGGCCAGTATCATTAATAATCTAATGGCATATCGGAAGTACATGTTTACACAACAATCAGTTAATCCAGAAGGCATTAGCTGTAGTATCAATCAGATACAATTGCTTGTTTGCCATATATAAGGAAACAGAGAACTTGCGAAGATTAAGGAAAATCCACGGGCTTCGAAGTAAACAGCAAAGAAAAGGTCGGAGAATAAAAGTTATTCGAATTTGAGAGGTTTCACAATCCGGGAACAAGGGTAAATGTATAAAGGTCCCATAGCCATTACTGGCCATAGGGGCAGTGGGATGTTAGAGGTCCACTGTGTCTTGGGCGCGGCATATGAGTGGCGGTGACCTGTCCTCTCCTCTCGCCGTTTTACCTTCCCTGAACGAATCAGGTACCCATTTTACTGTTGGGTCGTCAGAGAGCGTATTCCAGTTTTTGGTCTTTGATTCGAACCGCCAACCTTCCCCTCCTAAACGGCTCGGCTATACGAGTCCCCTTTGCGTTATCTTTGAAAAAAATCATCCGTTAGGCCAAAAAAAAAGGTCTCCGGTTTCTGGTATGCGCGCGCGTCGCCGTAGCCATGCGCGTCGGCAAAATGAAAATCCTGCTGCTGCACAATTTTTACGTGTTTTTAGATTGGGTTATGGTCGAGAATAAGCTTTATGTGGCCTCTCTGGACTCCCATATATTTGCGCTAAGTTTAGTCGTGCACCATTTGCAGTCATCAGCCGACATTTGAAGCAAAAAATCAGGTACAAAAAAAAAAAAAGCCGCGTCGCCACACCACTTTTTGGGCAAGCTCCATACCAGAAACCGGAGACTTTTTTTTGTTTGGCCTTACCGTATCATTACCTATAACTCCCCCAATTAACGATCTATCTAGCTTTGGAAACGTAACCTCGCTTAGTCATTGCAAATTCGGCAATTTAGTGCTGTAAATCTTGGCATATCATTACATTTGTTCCGTGTCCTTCCAATTACATAGCCGGGGGGTTTAGTGGACACTTGGCTCCGCATAATCAATAGGTGGGGGCTCGTACCATTAATTTTTATTATACACATGTAGACTGGCAATGAGGTCACTAGTGCAAGACTGTGAGCCGAGGGGAATAGGACCCTCTTATGGTCACTCACAGGCCCGAAGATGAAAGTTTTTGTAGCATTGGTAGTGTAAGACCGGGAAAATCTATGGATCCATGCTGAATGTCGTTACACAGGGCGTCCTAAAAAATATGGTGCATGTAAACCCCTCCATTTTTGCTAATTTACAACCAAAAACTTTCTGCGGATGTTTACACCATCTTCAAGGTAATAGATTTAGCTTGAGAATACCCTTTGTTTCATTGAGATTGCTTTTGTAACCCCTCCATTTTTGCTAATTTACAACCAAAAACTTTCTGCGGATGTTTACACCATCTTCAAGGTAATAGATTTAGCTTGAGAATACCCTTTGTTTCATTGAGATTGCTTTTGTAAATCCAAAGATATATTTAGCAAAAGAGCCATACTGGTATTGTCTGATCTTTGAAACACTCGCTTCCTAAAAGTGGCACAGAATGGGTTTTTTTTTGGCTTTGCGATTATTCAAACATATATCTCTGGATTTACAAAAGCAATCTTAATTAAACAAACGGTATTCTCAAGCTGAATCTGTAACCCTTGAAGCCCGTGTAAACATTTGCAGTAAATTCCGGTTGTTAATTGGCGAAAATGGCGGGGTTTATATGCGCCATTATTTTCAGGACACTGTGTATATGGGGGGAAAGGGACACTCCCGATTTCCCCACGCTCTAGTCGAATTTCCAATGAGCGTTACAGCTGGGGTTCGCAAGCTTGATCTGGCCATGGATGTATACAAATGGAAAGATATAATCTGGCCACCATTGTCACCCTGTGCACAAACCGTGAGACTGGTCTGAAAATTTCTACGTGTTTTCTCAGTAAATACTTGAATATTTTCCCTGCTAAATTTGATATGGGAATCTTTCAATAAAAATACGTTCCTCCATGATCTAGCCTACATTTGCGCACGGTGCCGTGGCGGACAGTAGGCCTACAGCGCGGTAATCGCATTAGGCCTATAGTTCAACAACCGTTTGTTGAAGTCGGCAGGTGAGTTACTCGCAAATGCTTGATTTGAACAATGAAATATCCAGTTAAAAACTTACCTCTGCCATCGCGGATCGGGTCCTAAGAATTGCACGCAGCTGATTCTTTTAAACAATGAGCACAATGCCCTTCACCTTAAGTTGTAACGAGCTTCTGTACACAAAAATGTATCACCAACACCAAGTAATAATACGGCATGTACATGTACACTCATTGTACACATAACGTTGTACGCGTGTTTGCGCCTCTTTTTTTGTTTACATATATATGACTGTGAACAAACGATTTTGGAGCTATAAAACGCATGGTGAAAATCCCCCCACCCCACGTGCAACGGTACAGTGCACCTGTTAAAGCTAAAGATATTGTGCTCGGCATTACCACGGTTATGTAGTTATCACTTATCAGAATTCAATATTCATAAATACCTCAGACAGTTTAGCTATTCCTATTGGTCGAGAGCCCGTCATGTGGCCGGTATTAAACGGATGATAAAGACATGGCTAGCTGGTCTTAAACACTTTTCCAGTGTCACAATAAAATGTGGACTCCTAAAAAGCCAGTGCCTCTTACCGTTTCATTGGTTGAACGTTCACAATCCTCACGTAGGCATGCGCAACACTACAAGCGAGACAGAATTTTATAGTTCTAAATTCAAAACGCAACGCCCCAGGTGCGTTCTGCGTGACATCGCGCAGAACATGCTACGCGCGCTTCAATCTCCATAAAAGGGTTGTTTACATCTTACTCGCCAGCTGAACACTCCATTATTTTGCTAGAGGGATGTTTCAAAAAGCATGAAGTGAACTTGTTGAACAAAATCGGGATTTTTTGAACGAATTATTTGATATTTTTTTACGGATAAGGTATTTATGAATGGGAATAAATATGTGCTCGGTCGGTATTTATCACTCTGTTTAATACCGCTTTAAGCGGTATTAGATCGGCTCTATTACACGCCGCGGGCGTTGATTACCAATCGCTATAAAAACTGGACCATTCAACCCCTGGTGTCCAAGACTATCGCAGCCTGCGCTCGCTATACTGCATGCATCATGCATGCGTGAACGTACAACGACGAGTGCGGCATTTCCACGACTCGACTGTAAACAACATGGCTACCACCATGGATGTCACAACATGTGCCGTCACACTCACAACATGCGAAATACCTGCCGATCTTTGCAGTTTCTGGAAACAGCAAAAGCTAATAATGAAAAACCCAAGTTCACCGTACGAAAGGTTTGTTTGTGCCTCATGTTTGCTGTCGAAAAGCTGCAAAGAGACAGCTTTCGCCTCCGCCCAGCAGCAATGGATTTTGTTCCGCAAGGACACGCAACCCGCACAGGCCCGCCAGTGGGATGTAATGATGAAGGTTGAATTCTTCAAAGACAAACTACAAAAACGCGGATACAACCAAGAAGATTTAGCCCTTCTTCCCCCAAAAGGCGAAACTCGCGTGAACTCTAAAAAGCGTGCAAAAACCGAAAAGAATATCCCGCTGGTCTTTGTTTTACCCTACAACCCACAAATTAAACACCCAGCTCTTAAGCAGGCCCTTCTGAAACACTGGAATCTGATCAGCGATAATGATTTTCTCAGTGCACTCTTTGCGACCCAACCCATCCTGGCATACAAACGACAAAAAAACATAAAAGATGGCCTGGTCCGATAAAGGATTAACCCATCTCCACCATCCAACCAAGAAAAAAACTTGGATGAGGAGAACGTTCAAATCCTTTTGGAATTTCTTGAAGAACAGAACTAACATAATGGTCATTTGGGCATGGATTTCGAAATAAAAATAAAAAATAAGGAATCCACTTTGATCATTACAAGAAAAGCTAACGCGTAAAATATTCTTTACCATCATTAGCAATAAAGTAAATACGTACAAAAGAATTAAACAAAGGGTGACTGATGAAGTGCGTAAAAAGGGCACAGAAAATATGCACTGTTTCCCCCGACACACAAAAAAGAAAAAACAGGTGGGACGGCATATTATCACCGGTATAAATCAAAACATTAAGTGAACTAGAAACAAAAACCACATGTACACAAACCAGTCCCTGCGTCACCTAAACACCGGATGGTTTTTTTTTAAACTCCCGCTCTCCGGTTATCACCTAAATCTAATGGGCCCGCTGGCGAGGTATGTGTTGACAAGTTATAACCCACCCATCACCGCAACCCAGCAGTGGAACTGATTTTACTCCCTATATGCGTATTGAATTTCCAAAAAAGGAAAAATAACCTTAACAAATACGCTCTAGGCAGTTTAGTCATATAACTACACAGGTATCCATACCAGTGCTTGTAAGTCTTAAATAAACGAAAATCTTCCCTAGCTGGTTGCAAACACAATGTTTAAAAAAAAAAAGATTCATCAGCTCGCAGAGCCCCTCGTACTCCAATGTTATCATACATCCCATAAAAAGAAAAGAATGAGGAACGGCCCTGCTGATGCTGATAGCAAATCCCATCCCCCTCCCATGTTTTAAACCCTAATTCACAGCGGCAACTTTCTTGGAATGACCATGGAACTTTCCAACAAGTTATTAATATCAACTGATTATTCCCTGAATTTTGCTTGCACAAAACCGGTTCTTCCTTGCTATTTTCCTAGCCAGAAAACCACTTCTTTTTAAGAAAACACAAGTCTGATAAAAACTTAAATGCATGGTGGCGGCCAAACTCCATTCCATTTAACTTAAAACTGTAGTGGCGACATGTATGATTACGCCCCTTCCTACTAAACACATCTTTGCGGCTTCCAATTAAGACTGCAACCTGTCATTCCCAACGGCATATCAGCTGGCAAAACACAAGAAAACTGAAGGCCACCAGTGCAAGCGAGGAAGACGGACAACATCACGCCGTCACTGAAAAGTTTTCTGGATGACATGTGACATACATGGGTATACATGTACATGTTCAAGTATAATGTACATGCAAGTGCATGTACATGTTTTGGTTTTTAACTTCTGCATATTAACAAATCAGTTTTTTATTAATCGAAATTAGGGGTGGGTGGGTGGGTCAAAATAATTTGGAAAAAAAGTGATAACAACACAAAAAACAACACAAAAAAGTGATAACAACACAAAAAAGTGATAATTTGGAAAAAAAGCTGATAATTACCCTCGCCTCCGGCTCGGGTAATTATCAGCACCCAGACTCTAAGCGGTATTAAACGAGTGATAAAAACCTCCGGAGCACACATTTATTCCCTTAATAAAGACCAAAAACGTAGACTCATGAATATTCAAAAATATAATTCGCTGGCTTGACAGACTTCGAGGCCAGATCGGGCGCAGAGCCTTACAAATCTGAAAGCCACCGCGCGCAGTGGTCTTTGTTGAAAAAGTATTCATGGTATTTGCCACCAGTACAGGCCGTTATCACGCGTCTATTAACCACAGGAGTTGGGCCGAGTCGTTAATCCTTGTGTGTAGGATCCGTGATTGTATGGGACCCCTCAAGCTTTTCACTTCTTACAGCGCTGATGTCCTTCCAAAATTACTTCGGTCTATTCACGAATAAACATTACTGGCCCGATCAACCTGGCTATAGAATAGCCCGACTGCGTCTGGCCGTACAGTACGCGGCCAGACGCAGTCGGGCTAGCTATAGTCGTGTTCCCTAACGTGGCGCACTTCGAAGCTTACCCGACTTTCCTCGTGTAGTGTTGCCAAACCTCTTTGTTGACAAACCTCAAATTCATGCAATGAAATACTAGAACTTTTAACTTATCAATGCTTGCTATTTTACCTCTGTGAACATTTTCAGTTTCATAAAATTTAATATGAAATTCAAAAACGGTGGTGTCCGGAAATTGGGCACAAATTGGCGGAGTGTTCTCTAACGTGGCGCACTTGAATAAATCTTGGAAAATTCCAAATTAACACTTACGAATTCCTGTAAACTTGATAAATTAATATCTTTACTTACATGCCCAGCCAAATGTTTGTCAGAAAATTATTTTCTTATTTTTCAGGGCATTGTCAAAGGGTTTACTTTGCACTTGAAAACAAAATCGGAAAATCACGCCAAAATAGCTTTTCCTTCTAACTTTGTTACGGGTATATAAACTCGCGATTTATGAACAGGACCGTTTAGAACTTGATGAAATTTCACTTTCTGTGAAATTTCAGTTTAAAATTTTGCTCTAGGTAGGCGCTACCGGCGAAAAATCCAAGTGCGCCACGTTCGGGGCCGCGCCACGTTAGGGTACATCAACAATAGAAGTGCTCATGACTGGAGCATGCAACCCACCTATACAAAAAATTCACGTCCCGGCCTAAAAAGCCTCTGGAACTTCATTTAATCAGTGGTTGTTTTTTTTTAACTGTGACGTTTCATCCCTTTCTGTATGCTGATTAGCTTGGATCACAATTAAATCATCATAATCACGTGTCGAAAAATCTTTTGTTTACAAGTACGTTTCTTGTTTACTTTTAGCCCGCAAACTCTTGAGGGCGCTCTCCATGTGTTTTACGAGCCTTTGTTTATGCCGATGTGGATATGTTGACTTTTTAACAATTTTGAGAAACGCTTTTCCGGATGTAAATCTTTGATGTGGATCAAGAATAGCCAGTAACATAACAATGAGTTCTGTAAGATTTTGTAAATGTTTTGGTTGTTTTTGATGTTGCAAGAAAAATCGCAAAAGGACCCTCTCATTTTGTTTTTGTGAAATGGAACATAGGTTGCCTAGTTTCCGGACAGTCAATACATGATGTAAATTGTGTTGCTGAAGGCGACTGTGTAGTTACGGGCCCCTCCTCTTTTTAGCCCCAAACAATGTTTTAAAATTATGAATTGACTTCTGCCACCATAAGCAGTCTTCTTTCACTGTTTTAATTCGAAGAATCAGTGCTTGTTTGGCAGTGGATATTTGACGGTGAACTGGTCTCCAATTATTTTTTTGCTCTCTTTACCGGCACGGCACTGCCACTGATTTGCGCAGTGAGTGTTTTCAGGACTTAGAATTTTTTACCGTGATGAATCTTGGTCTGGTCCCATGTTTTCATTGTTCTTGTGAGTTTGTAATTTGTATTAACAAGATGGGAATCAGACCTAATGCAATTTCGGACTTTATTTCCCTTTAAAACAAGTTAAGTTTTAAAACGACGTTTTAAAACAAAGAAGTAGATGGGTTTCAAAGATGTGAGATTGGAAAAAATGTGAGACTGGTTCACGGTTAAATAAACAATTCATAAGCTTTTTGGGGAAAAGTTCCATACTCGGACGTCAATTTATCTGCTGCCAAACATATTAATTGTCACCTCACCTTGTCATTTGAACCAAGAGAAATCCAGGAAGCTGTGTTAAGGTGAAAAAAATTTACTCAAAATGTGTTTTTAGAGCACATTTTGGATGCATACGTCGTGCAGAACTAACTTGAAGCAGCCGGTCAAAACTGATTGTAGTGGCTGAAAGACAGCGGTACGTTATACACGTGACATCAACAACCATGACGTCGCATGAGCCTGCCAATGATAGTGCAATACGTCATTATGAATATTTATTTTCTCATGAATATTTAGTTTATTTCAATGGATACTTCAAATACGTCCAAAGATTGATCATTGCAACAGCGATCGTGCGCGGCCTAGCGGTTAAGAGTCTCGTGTATCAAGCAAGTGTCCGAGGTTCAAATCTCGATGAAGTAATTAAGTGACTGATTGATAAATAGAAATTAAGGAAAGGAGAGGGTGAGAGTAGAGGAGGGAAAGTGGAGGAATAACCATAAAAGATGTAACTTTTGGCGCTAGAAAATTAATTGAAAAAAGTGACGTCCGAGTACGGAATTTTTTCCGCTTTTTGTTTTTGTCTTACCTTTGGGGGGGGTGGGTGGCGTAATTTCAGGCTTATTTTGTGTGAAATTTGGTATGCATATTTACGTTGAGTGTATCGTTGTGCTGGCCATCTTGTTTTTGCATGTTGTCATTTATGCCCCCCCCCCCCCAAAAAAAAAACCACAATAATTGGATCAGTCTCCATTTAGAATCCGTCGGGTTTTTTTTCAATTTGCAGGATGACCTATACACGGTCAAGATTGAGCCCCTGACCAGCGGCCCGGAGGTGGTGGTGGTGGACTCGGAGCCCCCCATGAGACGAGTCTTGGATCATCATCATCTCCAGCAGCAGCAACAGCAGCAGCAGCAGCAGCAGCTGGCAGCGCGTGAGGAAGAGCACAAGCTCAGGACCCACTATCTCCTGGCGGGGGGACAGGACACTACCGCGGGGGTTGCACCTGTACCTGTGCATGTAGGTTTGGCATACCTAAAGCCCAGAAAAATTAATTCTCCGGTTTCTGGTCTGCGCGCACGTGGCCGTAGCCATGTGCGTCGGCAAAATTAACAGTTTTTGTTTTTTCAATGTAAGGTGATGTCTCAAAACCGCCATACTCACTGGTTTGATTGGAATCCTGCTGCTGCACAATTTTAACATGTTTTTTTTTTATGGGGTTACGATCGAGTATAAGCTCTATGTGTCCTCTCTGGGCTCCCATTTATTTTGCACTAAATTTAGTTGGGCACCATTTGCAGACGGTGTTGCAATTTTGTAATTGTGCATCTAGATGCCAGACTGAGGGAGCGATGGTCGTGTATCTGGAACCTGTAAACACTTTTTAGTTAGCACAGTATGTAAGGGAGCAGACTAATGACCAGCCTGGCAGCTCATGCACGCTGTCGATGTCGCTGTATGGTCTGACCACGTTACCATTTTCTCTGATTTTGCCTTGACTATCCAAATTTCCCAAAGAATGTTCGTGTCGATCGAGATCATAAGTGGGTGCAGAATTCTCAAGCCTTATGGCCTTGCTGAGGTCACCTCAAGCTCAAATCTGAAGGATATTTTTGAGAGTTTTAAGGGGATTGAAGCATCATCTGCAACATTAGCCGACATTTGAAGAAAAAACAGTAAGGGAAAAAAATCAAAAATACCCGCATCTCCACACCGCTTTTTGGGCTAGCTTCATACCAGAAACCGCAGACTTTTTGGGGGCCTTTAAGGCCAGTTCATTCTCAGCTCGAATGCCAATTTGTGACGTCGCAACTATTTTTTCGTGCTGCAATTTTGTAAATGTTTAGCACATTTCAACTACAGTGAAGTTTACAGCAAATGCTTCATGATGTCAAATTTGTTATGCATTCACATTTGCATGAAGTATGAACCAGCCTTTATGCTACTGAAATTCCAAGTCGTTTGGAGAACAGTCTTTTTCCCCCCCTAATTTTATTAAAAGTGTAAGGTTAACTCCTTGCCCTAATCACTGCACTGCCTATAACTGTCCTGCCTGTCACTCCTTATAGCGATCAAAACTACCCAAGCACAAGTTGTGATGGATTCATCATTCAATAAATACAATGTACAGGGTGTCTAAACAAAAAGTAGCCGTCAATCCATAAATATTAAAGAAACTAGCACTCTCTTTTTGCAAAACTTATCTATAGAGTCTGAAGGTGTAGTAAATACTCTACACAATGGTCTTTATCCCATCTCATTTGGACAACCCAGTCTAGAGATACAGCTAATTAAATTAAATGACTTGAATTCCAAGTTTGGCCACTTGGTATCTAATGAAAGGCATTCACATACCAAGAAGGTAAAGAATGTTGCCCAAACAGATTTTGACAGTCTTTACAATCTTTACCGTAACTTTTAAACAAAAGGTCCATATCACACAGAACAAAAATCCTGTCAAGGGTAAAAAAACACGATTAAGTTTCCTCAGAAAAAAAATATTGTTGACTGCTATGGTTTTTTTTTCTGAGACGCCCTGTACAAGGTAAAACTGGTGCACCGTGCATCAAGTGTAAAAGTCTGTGGGACCTTGCTGCATTGGGCCATCAAAACAGTGCATAAACAGCCAATTCTGAGACAATGAGAGCTATCCATTGAACAATGCCACAGTTGTATCCTACTGCAGTTGGTGACCACAGACTCTGGGGCAGTTTGGCCATGCGACTTTTGACCTGATGGAGATTACTACACAAAGCAGGCTTGTCATTTTGACAAGTGTTGCATGTTGCTGCGTTCAGCAGGGTGTCTCGCCAGAACACCCAAGGAGGTTAAGGCTAATACATTAATTTGAGCCTAGCCCCATCCACAAATGTGGCCTATTTACTGGACTGCCTCCGTAAACATAGGCCACACATCCACATGTGCAAAAACGTGTCGCACTTTGCCAAATTTTGATTTTCACATTTAGGCTTAGTTTGTAGGATTGTTTTGCTTTAGAAGCATACTTACCCTCTTTATAGGCTAGTCAGATAGTGCTGCCTTTTTCAGATGTCTAATTTTTGTGAAATTTCATGTTGAAATTTTGATACGCAAACGTGTAAAAATGAATCTGGAAATTTCACGAAAAATATACATCTGAAAAAGGCAGCACTTTCTGATTAGCCTATAAAGAGGGTGAGTATGCTTCTAAAGCAAAAAAAACCTACAAACTAAGCCTAAATGCGAAAATCTAAATTTGGCAAATGCGACACGTTTTTGTACATGTGGATGTGTGGCCTATGTTTACGGAGGCAGTCCAGTAAATAGGCCACATTTATGGGGCTAATTTAAGCCCTGACTTTGCAATGATGTTTCTCACCTCTACAGTTAAGAAATACCGCCGTCCCGATGCAAGTGGTGGACAACCCTTACGCCAACGGGATGCAGGCCCAGAACCAGCTGATGGAACAGGTACGAAACCTGGAGACAGAGTTAGCACGGACCAAACAGGAAATCAACCAACTGAAGGAGCTCAACACACGACTCCAACAAGGTATCACATGGAAATGTACTTTCCGGTTTTGGAAAGAATTCCATACTGGGCCACCTCTCATATTCCCTCATATGACCTGAAGAGTATCAAAAGTTGTAAATCTGATGAAGAAACAGGCAAGATTACCATATGCGAAGTTCACTAATTTTCCTCTGTATTGACTAACAAGCCCCCAGATAGCAATTTCATGTCATCAAAGTCAATTTGAGCAGTGAGAAAATACAAGCATTTTCTTAGAAAACACTTAGAATTTTTCAGTCCACTCTCAAAGGGTTTGTACACAGAGTGTTGAGTGAACTTCGTATATGGAAATCTTTCCAAGAAACACCATGTAAAGAGTGCAAAATTTCTTAGTTCATACTCTTCCTTTTCCTGTCATGGCCCGTAGACTTTGTGCAGGGAGTCTGAGTGGAGGCCCAGTATGAAGTTCTTTCCCCGGTTTTTTTTTTATTTCTTTCTTCAAGTTTCTTCCAAAAATGAAGTTCTTGTTTGTTAAATTGATAATCTCCCAGTTATGCAAAATTTGCTCACTTTTGAATGCGGCAGGGGAGTCAAGTTGGTGCAGTGGTTCTTTCCTCGCCTTCCACTACCGTGGCCTGGGTTCGATTCCTGCCTTGGTCCACACGCGGGTTTTGTTTTCAGTCCCTACCAGATTCTATGGGTTTACCCCAAATCATATCCTACTTTATCAGGGTCTTGATGAGTACTAACCTTTTTTTCTGTGTTTTTCTACTTTGTTTGATTGTAAGGTATTCCTGATGTAATACGCAAGACGCTTCGTGATGAGTTGCGCAAACCCCGCTGGTCAGCCTTGAATCCACAGGACCAAGCAGTCCAAGGCAGCGCTGCCTCCAACAAGCCCAGAACGGTACGTCACCTTCTCTAGTCACCCTAACCTTCCCAACTCCATCAAAATCCATCCCCCCATTTTGGAGGATATTGGCAGATAAGCCACGTGTACCAAGTCCATCAAAATCCACCAGCGGGAGTAGACATATTCTCATTTGTTTCATGCTACTGAAACCGGAGATAAACGCCGGCCTGATGGGCCACATTGGCTCGGGACAGACTTAAAGATATAGTCCATCATTTGTAATTTGTGCATTTTGTTCGTTTGAAGCAACGTAAGGGCTCAAAATGTAAAGCAGGGTGCTGAATAACTAACCCGATGAAGTTTCAGCTCAGCTTCAGCTGTATATTCCGAGAAAAACAGCATTATAGGATCTCCATTTTAAATCAAACGTTGCTGAATCATGTTTTGAATTGGGCCTGAATTCAGCGTCCGAGACACGTTCTCACTGAGCCGATTGCAGCTACGCGATGTCGCACACTGATCCGACGAATTATAGCAACCACGCGCCTGTGTGCGTCGTGCCAACGCTTGCACGTGCTTCGCCGAATAAAAATATGAACTACTAAAGAAAATTTCCAACGGTACGTCTTAAGACGCACCATTGGAAAGGCCTTCTTTTGTTGATTTCTTCAAAATTACAGCATGCCAGAAAGAATAATTTCACAGGGAGTTTAGTCCCCTTGTTATCTTCCAACCAAGTTTATTTTTCAACAATAATTACGTCAGTTACTTTTTGGATAGCTGCAAATGATGGACTGTAGCTTTAACATTGTCTTTTTTTTACTTTTACGCAGGCAAGCAGCAATGCCCAGAAGCGTCACAAGCCCAGCCCCATGCAGCGGGCTGTGCTGAAAGCACGCGACTCGCCAGCCAAGATGACCAAGAAACTGCTGACGTCTTTCTTTGACCGGGAGACGTTGGCCACCAGTACGCTGACGGGGAAAGGTGGCAAGTCCAAGACACTGACCAAGGCGCAACTGGATCCCACAGTGGTAAAAAATGTCGTAGGTGAGTGCGAACAAAACATGAACAAAAGCATTGTAGGCATTTCTGGTTCATAATAAGAAACACACCTGATTCATAAAAGAAAATGTGCAATTAAGAAATATGTTTGGAAAACAGGGATTTGTCGAAAAGCACAGACTACCAGTGTTGTAGTACTTGTACTCGGTACTCGTACTCGAGTATTACTTGAGTGCTTTTTTTGGAGTACTCGTACTCGTACTCGAATGTCAAAGTACTCGTACTCCAAATGACGGTACTCATACTCGGGCAGCAAAGTACTCGTACTCAACATGTCAAAATTGTACTCGATCATTAAAGTACTCGTACTCGAATAGCAGTACTTGGGGGGAAAATGTTATAGCTTCACTTACAATGGCCTTATTTTATCGATACTTTCAGTTTGAAATTGTTGATTGGGTTGTGGAGAAACCGAGATTTCCTGAGTTTCCTCTGTGCAAGTCCGGACAAACACATGTAACAGCTAGCCATGAGTGGGTCTGTATATCGATCTGACTGGGCCTGGGCCAATTACGCACAATGAACCATTTGCCGTATGGCCGTATTTGGAAAAATGCGAATACTTGTACTCGTACTCGTACTCTGAAGTACTCGTACTCATACTCGTACTCGGAAGTACAAGTACTCGCAGACTCGTTCTTGTACTCGGGGTTACAAGTACTCGTACTTGTACTCGGCAACCTAAGTACTCGGCAGTACTCGGTACTCGGTACTCGGAAAAAAGTACTCGACTACAACACTGCAGACATCTGTTAAAAAAAATGTTAAACCCTGATTTTTTTTTTTATTCCTCAACAGACAAAGTCACTGCAACCTTCGGCATCAGCGAGTGTTCGGTCCGCAACGTCATCTCGCAGAAGTGCAAGGAAGAGATGATGATCCGACGCAGGCGGCTGGGGCTGGACGCGAAGTCAAAGTGAGAGGCAAGCACGCCGTCACGCCTCTTTAAATAGGGATCTGATCGTAACTTGGATCGTAGGTATCGGCGCCAGTGTGTGTACGTGAGGCTGTGCCATACTCCATGCAAAATGCGAGTTGGTAAAAACAAAAATGTTTGGAGTGCAGGCAATCGCAGAAAATTCGACCTAACGGTGTTACGCACAGAAATGAAAAGGTTCATAAAGTTGAAGTCAAGGGCATTAGAAGAACACATTTTTAAAATGTGTACACTTGGAGATAATTTTTAAACAAGAAAAGAAATTACCTTAGAGATATACCGTCAGTGCTGTTCAATAAAGTTGATTCTTTTTCTCCTAACAATTAGGAGTGTTTTATTTATTTAAAAAAAAACACCTTTTTCCCCCTGTATTTGTGGCCTCTGCAACCCTCTGAAAAAACAGGAATTTTATTCTGGCTTAGTTTCGGTTTGCGGTAACACAATGTGGGTAATAAGTACTGTTGTGCATATTTTGGGATTTTTTGTCCTCAATGTCTAGTAGAACAAGGGTTATATGTTATTGCAAAAGAAATCATTGACGTTTGCCTCCACCAAAGATTTGTCATTTGCTTTCCACGTTATTTGCATTTGCGTTTAGTATGGCACGGCCTTATATGTCAGGTTTCTTGTGTTGGTCAGTTTGGTATCTTTGCTCTCATAAGGAGCATCTGCAAGTGTTTAACACTTTGACAGTTTCATTTGGAAAAACCAAGTGTGAACCATAGAGCTATATTGAATAACTAGTGCGCTAACTCTTGTAGGCACCTGGGCGCAGTCATTTTGCATTTTGCGCACGGAGCCCATACATATAGCTCTATGTGTGAACACTTTGGTAGCAATATAGGATGCCAGGTGGTGTTTTTTTTTAAGAGCCAAGTTACCGCTGAGACATGATTGATGCAATATAGCTGTTGTTCTGAGACAAAAATCATGTATTATTTATTGTTGTGTCATAAAAATTGCCAGGCAAAAAAAAAATTAGGAATAATTGTTTTATCCTTGTTAACAATTTATAATTTATTTCATGTAGTTTACAATGTGTTGTATCAATAATATGAAAGAATTAGGTCAGATTATTTTAGAAAAAAAATACAAGTAATTTAGAAAGCATTCCGCAATATGTAGATTTCAAGTTATAATGAAATGAAAAAATCCCATTGAGACAGTGTTGTAGGACTCGAGTCCAGGACTTGGACTCGAGTCGGACTCGAGTCACATTTTTTGTGACTCGGACTCGACTCGAGTCGAGTCACATTGGAAAATGACTCGGACTCGACCATAATGAATCGGACTTGAGCTTGGTGACTCGTGACTTGAGTCACGTAATTTCATCAAAAAAAAATAACGTTACGTATTTGTGCGACGAACGTAGTATTCTTTTTTTACTCCATAGACTCCATATACAGTCTAGTCTCGTTACAACAAACTCATTCAGACCTAGCCAAATTGTTTGTTATGTCAGAATTGTGTATTAAGAGGAACATCGGTCCCATTCATTGTGCATATAAATGCACAGTCGGGACTAAGGCTTTATGTTTGTTATAACCAGAATTTTGTATTAACAGAGTCTGTACTCCATATACTCCATAGACATTACTGTGTTCTCCATTGGTCAAGCATTTTGAGGACTTTGGTTGTGCTTAAAATGCGCCGCCTCGTGGGACGAAAACAAAAAAATGAGTGTTAGCAACTTATCTCGGAATGATACGGTTCATTATTTTACATTTGGAGGATCACGATTTCCAACGGTGACATCATGAAAAAAATTTAACAGAATAAGTTAGCCGTGTCTGAATTACTTGGCTACGACTTGCAATTATGGAAGCCTATGGAAGCAGCTGCAGCCACTTTCCATAGACACCATACTATCGCCAGCCACAGCCAGTTAATTCGGACACGGCTTTATACAAACTATTTTTGATCACCTAAAGTATTGTATTCATTTTAATTATTTGAGCCATGTAAATTTATGGGTTTTTAAAATCTCAGTCTGTCGTTTTTAACATTTTTTGATTAGTGAATTTTTATCTGGTTTCTGTGTTGAAATTGATGGTTAAAAATTTTATTGCTTTTTTTTTCATATTCTCTTCTTTTTTATTTTTTATTTTTTTTCCTTTGTGGATCAGTTACCATTGAGCATCAAGTCAACACATCATTAGTATTATTAGGCTTGGGTGACTCTACAACAGGATTGAAAATAATCGATTCCAAACTTGAAATCACAATAGTGGGAGACTTTTGAGACGTTGGTGGCAGCAAACGCACCAGTCCTTTTTCCATTGTTTGCGTCACATTGAGCATGCACACTTTAGCTTAAACATGAAGTAAACAACTGAAAAGGACCGGTGTGTTTGCTGCCACCAAAGTCTCAAACGTCTCCCATTATGACTTCACATTTTGAGGAATGAACTCGTTGCAGCCAGTGGAAGAGGCAAAGCTAATGAAGCTAGTACCAGCGTCCACAAAATTTGAAACAATTGATTCAGAATGACCAATCACCGGAAGTCTTTTCATGATTCTGTATGTTCACATTATCGTTTTGGTTTGCGGTAACACCATGTGGTAATAACTACTGTCGATCAGTAGTTCTTCTAGAACTCAAAGCAAGACTGTTCTTATCAGAACTAAAACTACTTTACAGACTTAGCGAAAGTTGATAATAAGCAGGAAAAGTTCTTATCAGAAAGTTCTACTGAGTGACAGTTATTTTCACATGGTGTTACCAAAAACCGAAACAATTCTGATACTCCACCATGTGTACACATTGGTCTGGCTTAGCCTGTTCAATTGGCGTTATGAGGTAATCCTATACAAGAGCACTGCCCGGCTGGCAAGTGACAGTGAGGTACTAAGATAACTATAGGCTGGCCCTCTGGGACCAGCAAAAAGTTACGGAAAAATCGAAACCACCACCGACTGTGAGCAGAATGTACAAATATTTTAGCGAAGTTTTCTAAACTTTGATTGTATGTTGGGTTTTTGTGTTGTTTCACATGTAGATGTTTCACATGTATTTTTATCTCATTCAAATTTATACTCAATAGTTGGCGGCCAATTTTCAGTTAAAGGGAATGTACAACATTTGCTTTTGCTACAATTTTCAGAAATAAATGGATTTGGAGGATTAGTATGACTATTTTATAGCAAATATTGTTGAAATGACTTGTTTCACGTTTTGGGCTTGCTTGAAAGACCAAGAAAACCAATCATGTTCTTGTAGTCGCGGAATAACTAATCATACAATATTAGGAGCAGTTTGTTAAAAAAGCCAGTTTTCTCCAACGCTGGTCGGCCGACCAGCGCGTTGGTCGGCCGACCAGCGTTGGAAAAATACCATTTTTCTTGAAAATGACAGCACACCAGTAGCCACAATTTTACAGGATGCTTTAGACTGTCGTTCCCTAACAATCTAGTAAGGTATTTTGTGATTATTTGATCATTTTGTTTTGTGATGTTTGCAAATGTTGCATCTTCCCTTTAAATTATCATCTTTTAATAGCCGCACTCTCAACGTTTATTGTTGTTCAAGATTTCCATCTAACTCTCTGTTTGAAAGCCTTGAGGAACTTAAGCAGTGAACCAAGATTTACAATTGTACATTATTTCCTGAAAATAATTTTTTTGTCAGTATTTCAAGTGTTCAAAATGACTAACCCAGGAAGAGTGTGGCCTATAGGTTAGGGTTCATGACTCTTGATCAGAGGGTCAGGGGTTCAAATCCAGCTGCTGGCCATATGTTGTATCCTTGGGCAAGCCACTTCACCCCACTTGCCTCTCTCCACCCGGGAGTATAAGTGGGTACCGGCATTAGCTGGGGAGTAACCTGCGATGGACTAGCATCCCATCCAGGGGGAATAGAAATATTCTCTGTTGTTTCATGCCAAGGAAACTGGAGATAAATGCCAGTCTAATGAGCTATATTGGCTCGTGACAGCCTTTACTTTTACTAAATGACTACCCCCCACCCAAAAAAAAAACCCAACCCCCTTGGCATTTTTGCGACACAGACATCAAAGTTCAAAATAAATAAAGAGCTGTCAATACAAGTTTCTTTTTTTAATTTCTAATTTATTAAAAACTTTCCAACTCTGTACATACATCTAGTACATGTGCATAGTTATTAAAACTTTACTCAATTCAAGTTTTTGAACATTCTGTTTGAAAAGCTGGTATTTTTATTGTGATCTTTGATCTGTCATTTTGTGTATTACAGAAAACGAATCTGTACTGTAAAGAGATTATTGTGGTTTTGTTTCAAAAGTGGGATTTTTTTCTTTTCATTGTATTTTTCCCTTTCAAATCTTTGTACTGTATGTAGTTCATACATGTAGGTATACATCTATTTGTAGTCAGTATACAACTTTATGGAGTTTAAGCCCCCAAAAGTGTATCTTGGAAGAAATGTTCTAGTTTTCATCAGAGTTGGAATTAAGTCAATTAATAGTCATCCAGTCTCAAAGTGAAGTGCCGTGGCCTAGTGGTCTGGAGCATTGAATTCGCGGTCTGCGGGTAATTCTGCAGTTGTGGGTTCGAGTCCTGCCTGGGGTTATGGTGTGTGTGCCCTTGGGCAAGGTACACAGTCACTCATTGCTTCTCCCTTCACAGGAGTGAATGGGTACCTGTGAGGGCAGAGACGGTTTAATACTGTGATGATTTTAGCTGCTTTGCACCGAAATGGCAGCACCGAAATAGCAGCATCGAGTTGTATTTTATACTCCTCACTCCTCGGGGAGCTGAGACTGCCTTTGGAATGTTTCATTTAGTCAGGCAGATCGGTGCACAATATGATGGAATTGTTCATTTGATGATGAAAGTATGAAATTCCACACAAAGTCAGTGTATGTCATGGGAAAGATATTTAGTTAAAGGGCCATCGCAGATTTGTCCTTTGAAAAAAATATCATAGAATAACATGCAATGGCCGCCATTTTGAAAATTTCGAAAATTGATTGCTATTCTATGTTTTTTTTTTTCAAGGACAAATCTGCGATGGCCCTATAGCCAAATATCTTTCCCATGACAAACTCTGTGTGCCAAATTTCATGCTTTCATCATCAAACTGAACAATCTTGTCACCATGCAATCTGCTGTACTAATTGACCCAATGAGCAGGGTAATGATGATGTAGCGCATTGAGCACCAATAATGGTTGACATGTGCACTTCACATCTTCATTATTATCATTATTAAATCAAGTGAGCAATTGTGACAATTCGGGCGATTCACAATGCAGTGCGCCACCAAGAGTTTGCCACAGAGAGTTCATTTTTCCCAGTGCATTGTGGGAGATGGTCGACAAATTTGCAGCGCGGGACATTTGACATTGTTCGTTTTTCCGGTCAGTAGTTTCATAAGCGTATGATTCGAGTATATGTTTGCCCTTTTCTTTTCTTTTTATCAATATGGTGTTTTTTGTAAGGCGGCACAATGCCATGCCCCAATCTATAGCAAATTAGCTCAAGTTGTCTACTGATACTCGTTCAAATGCGCCATGTTATGTCGACCATAAACTTGAAAAGTGGACTCTCCATGGCAAACTCTTGGTGGCGCACTGCATTGTGAATTGCCCGAATTGAATTCCTTTTTCACCCTGACAAGTTTGTGAGTTGACTTTTGATTGAGTTTGTTTCCCATATGTTCAGTGTTCTTAGTGTCTCTCGTCGGACTTCATTTCAGCTCAATCAGTTAATTGAAATAAACGAGACTTTGAAACTTAGTGACGGTGTATACTCTTGTTATAAATTTGTATTTATTTGTTTATCTTTTAATGTTTGTTTGTTTTTTTTTGTCCTAATCACATTAATTTTACACAACTGAATAAATCCCCGTCATCTGGAGCAGTGTGGTAAAGCGGTTACGGTGTTCGACTCATGTGCTGTGGTACGTGGGTTCGAACCCTGATGGAGAACATGGTGCTAGTGTTCTTGGGCAAGACACTTTACTACAATTGCCTCTCTCCACCCAGGAGCATGAATTGGTACCTGTGAAGGTAGAGACCAGAATGCGCTGATCTCGAGCTGCTGCGGAAAAATGGTCTCATTCCTGATGAACAGGGGTAATAATTGTAAAGCGCTTTGAAACCTTAGGTATAAGTCCTATATAAGCACTTGAAACCTTAGGTATAAAGTGCTAGGTATAAGTGCTAGGTATGAAGTGCTATATAAGAAACCTTAGGTATAAAGTCCTATATAAGCACTTGAAACCTTAGGTATAAAGTGCTAGGTATGAAGTGCTATATAAGAAACCTTAAGTATAAGTCCTATATAAGCAATTGAAACCTTAGGTATAAAGTGCTAGGTATAAAGTGCTATATAAGAAACCTTAGGTACAAAGTGCTATATAAGCACCACATTAGTATTACTATGTCATTGAATTATTCTTCCCATTGCAAAAATAAAAGTTCCATTCCATGGTCAAAGGAAGTTCCATTGCACGGTCACACTTTTGGAAGGGCTCTGACCAATCAGATGACAAGGATTTATTCAAGTTGTTGTATAAAACAAATGTTTCACATTCGTGCAAAAGGAAAGAATCAAAGCCGAGCTGGAATGGAACAATCCATCTGTCACCTCATGAAATTATTCTTACCATTGCACTCACAAATATTCAATATTTGTGTAATATTCATGTTTTATACAGGTAGAACCGAGCAGTAAATATTTATTACATACAATCAAACTTTCACTTGGGGGGAGTGTGACCTACATGTAGTGAATATGGTTCGTGAGGCTTGATCAGAGGGTCAGGGGTTCGAATCCAGCTGCTGGCCTTGTGTTTCACTTAATTTAATTCATAAAAAAAATTCAGTCCCGCATAGTACAGTAGTGGTCAACAGAAGGGACCAAGGATGTACATGTATCCTCAATGTACAGGTTTTCGAAGGTGTAAGGATTTATTTCAAGCAAGAGAAAAACACCGACATAACCTTCGGTTTCCATTTTTTGGGCTGGCGGTGGAACACGTACCGCACACACAACAAATCAACTGGTTGTGTGGTGCGAATCTGTGCGTGTGCTTCGCTACAAGGTCAAGCCTCAAAAACTTGATGCCTTGAAAACAGGTACACGGACGATACATGTGAGTGAACTCTGAAATTTTTGCCTAAAAATTTGAAGTAAAGAGGAAAAGTACATACATACATGTACAGGGTGAGTAAAAAAAAACGAAACCCAAATGTTGCGACCATTGTTTTAGTGAAGTTCTACACGTAGCACTTTCAAAATATAGGATAAAAGCCCAATTCATAAGCTTTCTTTTAGTACAAGAATCATTCAAATCACTTACGTACTTTTCAAGTTACAGAATTTTTAATACAACCACCATTTTAAGGTTCTGTCCACGGATCACAAAAAAAGTTCAGCATTCTTTCAGCAAAACGAAAACAGATCACATAGGGATGTGTGTGAATTGTTTTCGTTTTGCTAAAAGAACACACACCTTTTTTGTGATCCGTGGACGGAACTTTAAAACGATAGTTGTGTTTAAAATTCCGTAACTTGAAAAGTACATGAGTGATTTGAAAGATTCTTGTACTAAAAGAAAGCTTATGAATTGGGCTTTCATGTCCTAGATGTTGAAAGCGCTACATGCAGAACTTCAATAAAACAATGGTCCCAACATTTGGGTTTCGTTTTTTTTTGACTCACCATGTATATGGTGCCAATATATGTAATTAAGAATTTGAAAATAGCCTGAAATTAGGCAATGTAAATCAGTCACAAAATATGTGTAAAATTGTAGAGAAATGTTTTTAAGAGTCTGTACAGTAATATACCGGTACAAATCAAACACAATTTCTTTAATTCCCTAGGCATTTTACCTAGAATGCAAGCTCCATCATGCAAAAATCCTCCAACTGTCTCCATGTATTAAAAAAAATTGCATACAGCCTCAATCCTCATGAGTTATTTCTTGAATGTGGTCCTTGGAGGGGTGACCACTGCCTCAATCCTGCAAAATCCTCTGGCAATCACTGTCAATATGTTGAGGCAGAGCCAGTGACATCCTGGAGCAGTGCAGAGGATTTCAAGTATACATGTACATGTAGGCCTAAGATTATGCACATCTGAGCATAAACAACACAAGGTCCGGCCCAAGACCTTGACACAGTGCATCCTGTTATGACCAGTAATGTAATAATGGACCAATAATGTCATACCGACCAGCAATGTAATAAAAATTTACCAGTAATGTAATTATCGTCCTCCAAAATTTGCCACACATTTTTGCCATATAAATGTAGCCTCAATCACTCAAATCCTACATTTTGCAAAGAGGATTTTGGAGGATTTGGGAAGGTTAGGGTTAAAGAGGTTGTGGAATGCTCGAAGACATTTCCGTCATTTTTCGGGCATATGTAGCCTAAGGTGTGATGAAATAAAAACAACTATTGTTTCTGTCATAAAATGAGTACAAAAGGTACTTTTGAAAGCTGTTTTTCAAGTCCTGCCATGCCTGTTTCGACCCGAACGTGCAATTTGTGTAAAAGTCGTCGTTGTGGGCAGCAAACAAAACACAGTAAATCGTGACGTAATAAACAGAACTCCCAATGCAGAGTAGCATAAACGAGTCCTGTTTATTACGTCACGATTTACTGTGTTTTGTTTGCTGCCCGCAACGACGACTTTTACACAAATTGCACGTTCGGGTCGAAACAGGACCTGAAAAATAGCTCTCAAAAGTACCCTTTGTACTCATTTCATGACAGAAACAAAAGTCGTTTTTATTTCATCACACCTTAGGCTACATATACCCAAAAAATGTGACGGAAATGTCTTCGAGCATTCCACAACCTCTTTAAATAATGGCTCCATATTATACACAACTACATGTACATCTACACATTTTTCTGAGGGACCTGGAAAAAATATTTGACCCACCCCTCCCCGTCAAATATCTTGAGAAATGAGCAACATTTTTCATGTATGCAAGGCTTTTGCAGTCCAGATAGTTCTAGACCATGTTATGATCGAGTAAGCCCAGGGGTGTGAGTGACCACGGATAAAAAATAGCTGAAAACAGCTTAAAAAGGTGTAAAAAAAGCTGATATTTGGAAATCTACCATACTTTTGTACACAGCAAGTGAGAAAAAAGCTGAAATCCAAAACAAAACAAGTCAGGTGTGTTTACAAACACAAATGCCCCGCAACCGTGACTGTTTCCATGACATAACACCACTCTAACATCAAATTACATGTACCTTGGTCAAATGGAACGTTCATTGACAGCATTAGTGTCTTCTGTAGGTTTTATATGAATTAATCCCTAATCCCTATGATCTCAGAATAAATACAAGATTTCTATTGTTTTAGCCACTGTGACCTTGACCCTTGACCTTTCGACCCCCAATGCGATAGGCTCCTTAGGATTGCCAAGGACAATCCACAAACCAAATTTGAAGTTCATATGTAAAGTATATCTCAAGTTATCGCGCTGACAAAATTTCTTTTGTTTTTGCCACTGTGACCTTGACCCTTGACCTTTTGGCCCCAAATGCAAAAGGCTTCTTAGGATTGCCAAGGACAATCCACAAACCAAATTTGAAGTTCAAATGTAAAGTATATCTCAAGTTATCGCGCTGACAATATTTCTATTGTTTCAGCCACTGTGACCTTGACCCTTGACCTTTTGGCCCCAAATGCAATAGGCTTCTTAGGATTACCAAGAACAATACACAAACCAAATTTGAAGTTCATATGTAAAGTATTTCTCAAGTTATCGCGCTGACAAAATTTCTTTTGTTTTAGTCACTGTGACCTTGACCCTTGACCTTTTGGCCCGTAATGTAAAAGGCTTCTTAGAATTGCCAAGGACAATCCACAAACCAAATTTGAAGTTCATATGTAAAGTATTTCTCAAGTTATTGCGCTGACAAAATTTCTATTGTTTCAGCCACTGTGACCTTGACCCTTGACCTTTCGGCCCCAAATGCAAAAGGCTTCTAAGGATTACCAAGGACAATCCACAAACCAAATTTGAAGTTCATATGTTAAGTATTTCTCAAGTTATCGCGCTGACAAAATTTCTATTGTTTCAGCCACTGTGACCTTGACCCTTGACCTTTCGGCCGCAAATGCAAAAGGCTTCTTAGGATTACCAAGGACAATCCACAAACCAAATTTGAAGTTCATATGTTAAGTATTTCTCAAGTTATCGCGCTGACAAGATTTGTCCGGACACACACACCCACACACCCACCCACCCACACACCCACCCACCCACGGAAGGACAAGGCGGAAACAGTATGCCCCTTCGGCTTCGCCGCGGGGCATAAAAAGCTGAAATCAGCTTTAAAGCCGAGATTTCACACCCCTGTGTAAGCCACTCACAAAATTCTGAGTGTCACTCGTGTTCCGAGTTCAAGAAATACTCCCAATTGATGGTCTCTCACCGAGTGACCTGCCCTCCCATCAAATGTTGCCATCACTCAGCGAAATTCAATCAGGCAAGGTCTTAGTCCAGACATTACGTAGTTCAAGGCTGGATTATGATCGAGTATAAAGTCATTCACAAATTCTCTAGCATCGCTCAGGTGCCGAATTCAAGGAATGTTCCTGCTCAATGGTCTTTTCCCAAGTGACTCGCTCCTCCTGGACAACATGTGTTGATTTCTGAGCAGAATTCCACCACGCAAGGGTTTCAGTTCAGATAGTTGTTGGATGTGTTGGAATAAGTCACTCATAAGCTTTAGCTAAGTCCCTAACTCCTTAGGCCATTTTGCTAGGATGTAGCCTCAATCCTGCAAATTCCTCCGTTATTTCTTGAATATGGTCCATGGAGAGATGACCACTGCCTGAATCCTGCAAAATCCTCCAGCTATGTCTGTCAATAGGCCGAGGCAGAGGCAGTGACATCCTGGAGCAGTGCGGAGGATGTCAAGTATAATCAAGGACTAAGTTTATGCACGGCTGAGCATAAACAACACAAGGTCCGGCCCAAGACCTTGACACAGTGCGTACTCCGAAATCAGCAACGCACTTTTGCCATGTAACCTCAATCCTGCAAATTCCTCCAGTTTGCAAAAAGGATTTTGGAGGATTCAGGGCGGTTAGGGTTCTAATGTGCGTTCAAGAAATATTCCCGCTCAATGGTCTCTCGGCGAGTGACTTGCCCCTCCCTATCCAACGTCTCAATCACCGAGCGCTCCGTGATCCGTTCGACTCGCTCCGCGATGACCCTCTCTAAGCGGAACTGGGAGACAGGGTCCAAGGCAATGATGACTCTCTGCGGCTCCGAGATATCTTCCTGCGGCACCAAGCACGCCTCCGCCGGGAGGGAAGCCTGAAGTGGGGGCGACGAGTCCACTACCTGTGCCTCACTCTCGGCCTGGAGATCTTCCCTTAAGTTACTCAGCTGAGTGTTCAGCTCCTTGGCCATCACCCGTGCAGATCTCTTACGCGGGGCTGCTTGCGACTTCTCCGTTTTGACCCTGCAGACCTGTTGGCGGCGCCTGCGGTACGACGGCCTTCCCAGCGGCATCACTTTCCCCTCCGGCGTCACCTTGCAGACTTCCTTGATCATTTCCGCCTCTTGCACCTTGTCCGGGTGGAAGCTGTGGTAGTGCTTCATTAGGTCCTCCCGACGGTTACTCTCGGCTTCGCAACAGGCGCAGGGGAACCGGAACCCCAGGTGGTGGTTTTTGACGTGGCGTCGCAGGTTTGAATAAAGGGTGTACTTAATGTTGCAGTAGGCGCACTGCAGGTCCGGCCTAGACGGCAGGAGCGCGGACAACATCGACTCTGAGATAGGCTCCTGGGTCTTGCCAAACTGCAACATGGTCCGCTCCAATGCCTCACGATCCAACTGCAATCAAAACACAAGGGCAAAATGAAACAATGTTTCCGTATTTTCAACACTGTTTGGCAATGCTCATTTGAATAGCTTCAGAGTTTGTCAAAAATGATATTTCAAATGTGCTCAACCCAATTGTTGCTATTTTTTATGATGAGAATATTCAGTTAAAAAAAAAAATTCTGTATAAAATAAATTTACGTGTCCTGACCCATAGCCGGTTTTAAACATGGAAAGATTTTCATACACATCACTTTTTCAATCAATTTTTAAGCGTCAATAAGTTACTTTCTACGGTTCTTTCATCTATTTCCCCTCCTCGACTCTCACTCTCTACCCTCCTCCAATCCTCTTTAGGCCCAAAATATAGTTCTGCTTTTGGTTACCCTACCTACCCTATTCTGACACCCCCTACCCTAATTTGTATGGGGAAAATGAGAAAAAAAACACCCAAAACCATCCATTTCTACCTTTTTCCCTTGACTACACGCAGATGCCTCCATATGATCGTACACCAAAATATTCATGACAAATTAAATATTCACGATAACGTAATGCACTATCATTGGGTAGGTGTAGATCGCTGTTGAAGTCACGCCAATAACCAATGTCAAAAATGGCTGCCTAGACCGTCTGCTGCCGAGCTGATGTTCGCATCAAGAGTGTGCTCTAAACAGACATATTTCCTGAAAATGAAACGTCTTCACATTGCCAGAGCTTCCGGGATTCGTCTCAGGTGAAATCTCTCCATGGTGAGGTGAACATTGATGTGTTTAGTGGCAGATAACTGATGTACGAATGTGGAGTTCTTCCCTTTATTCCCTTTCATAAATACCTTTCCGTCAAACAGTCAATACCAGTCAAAAATTCACAAATGTTGAAAAAATGTTGCAACCTGACGCCACATTTTTCTTCACATATCATCTCAATGAAGATCATTTATTGCAAAAATGATTACAGGAATCTGGGACTGAGAAACATTTCCAATTTTGTTAGGAAATTCTTAGAAAATGTTCTCCATAGACTTTGTACACAACCGCGGAAGTGGTGTCACTGCCTGGTTGCAACATTTTTGCCTAAATGTTTAACCCCCACCCCAATGCCACGCTCCTGATGCTGGCCCCCTGCTGCACGTTTATCTGTGACCCTCCATAAGCTGCGCAGGTAACGCGTTGCAAGCGTTACCTACTCCTAGAACTATGAGTATGACTGAGGCTCTACGTGGAGCCTCATACTCATAGTTCTAGGAGTAGGTAACGCTTGCAACGCGCTTGCGTTGTCACACCTGCACATAGCCCCACTAGTGTGGCCGTCGGTATGCTGCGCTGAACCTAAGGCCACACACCGTGGTCCGCGCACTACTGAGGACGTTTTCATACAATTTGCAGGGAATTTCTTACATATGGTTGTATTCTACGATGTCCCATCTATCACTTCTGGGATGCTTAGGTGTAATGATGTTCAATTTTCTGAGATATTCTTGAATCTTTCTGGAGCCCATATGCACTCGTGAAACATCCGGTGATGGCAGCCATTTTGAATGTGACAAGAGATGACCTCAAGCTGTGATGTCGCATTTATGCAAATTGCTTGTCAAGCGAGGGCGCGAGTTGCAAATGCGACGACTATTTCCTGTACCATGCATTTATCGTCTGGGGGCCACGTGCACTGATCTCTATTCAGGATCTACGGCACAGGAAACAGCCGTCGCATTTGCAACTCGCGCCCTCGCTCGACAAGCAATTTGCATAAACGCGACGTCACAGCTTGAGGTCATCTCTTGTCACATTCAAAATCGCTGCCATCACCGGACGTTTCACGAGTGCATATGGGCTCCAAAAAGATTCAAGAATATCTCGGAAAATTGAACATCATTACACCTAAGCATCCCAGAAGTGATAGATGGGACATCGTAGAATACAACCATATGTAAGAAATTCCCTGCAAATTGTATGAAAACGTCCTCAGTAGTGCGCGGACCACGGTGTGTGGCCTTACGGCCACACTAGTGGGGCTAACCTGCACACACAAATTGAATGCGACTTGCGAATCATGCGAGTGCGTAGAAATAGGACCGCGTAGCTTTCCTTTGCTTTTAACGGGTCTGACGGGGATACCCTAAATAATTAACTGATCTGTTCATTTGCGTAGAATTTAAAGGAACAACAACAAGCACTGTGCTGTATTCTGTTTCGTTTTCTTATAGAATTAGAAACTCACCATTTTGTTTAGTATTTTCAACGTCCACTGGCAGTGGCAGTGAAGCTGTATGTAAAATTCCAGGCTCTGGTAGTTTCCTGTTTCACACTACGCCCTCTGTCGGCAAGAGTATGCCAGAGTCAGGATTCGCTCCTGTTTGCAGGGCGGGGGTACGAGCGAAGAGTCAGGACTCAGATAGTAGTATGCGGCTTGTATCATATCAACTCCTTATTTTTTCTTTATTAAATAAAAAAAAATTAATGGCAACCTTCCAGTAGTATTTCTGAGATATGGCGGGTATGGTACAATATAATATGGATGGATGAAAAAAATGAAGAAGAAAAAAGAAGTAAATAGATGGAAGTTATTTTTTCCAAAAACAATCATCCCGCCTAGATTTTTGTATATAAGCCACTTTGGATGTTTTTAACCATGCAGCACGGCATGTAGGCTTGCCCAGTTTCTGATTAAGAACCGGTTTTTATAGGTTCGATGTCCATCCATTATCGCTCTCAACTAGTGGCGTAGCAAGGTAATTTTGATTGGGGGTAAAAATATTTTGAAAAGTACCATCAATCGATGGGGGCGCTGCTCAAAACCGACGATTATGCACACTACAACAGACAACTTGATGCTTTCAGGGATATGCGCGAAATTCAGATAGGCACACCTAATGGCCGCTGGCATAAGAAAAGTGGGCACAATTTTTTTGTAAAGGGTACTTGTTCAGAAAAAGGGGACACCTTTTGTAACAAAAGAAGGGCAGTCTTTACAAATATTGGGGGGATGGAAAAGGGCAGACTGTACAATTTTTGGGGGGGGGGGGCTGGCTACGCCTATAGACTGGCGGGAACCAGAATGCACAGTGCGCTTTCCTAAGGGGAGTTCTTCGTAATTCAATTGGAAATACGAACCATCTACTCGCGCGAACAGTGACATAACTGGGGTGCCGGGGCGGGGTGACTTAAGATAAGGGGGTCTAAAACACGGGACGGGGAGGTGGGGCATCCAATGGGGTTTTTAACAATAAAGGGCTCATTTTTGTCTTTCCCAACTTCTGGGTGAGGGGACACAACATGGGCACAGGCCTCAAGCGAAGAGGGCACATCACCCTCCCCTGTCCCCGACACACAGGCGTTGGTTGGCAATGTGCGGGCAGGTCGCTTAATTTTCGGACGTGAATCGAGTCTCTTCCAGTGGAATCCTGATTATTATAACTTCGCGCGCGCATTATACCCCAAGTACCAATTACAGAGCTAGCTTCTTCACAATACCCCATTTACGGGCCATCAGACCAGTTTTCTTAATTCAGCACCTCGAGATCAGCACAACGCCTGTAGGCCCTTACAGATACCTATGATCTTGCCGAAGATCACAAACTCTAAGAAGCCTTGGAGTTAAAATTTTGTTCGCGGGAAGTTGTCGGAATGTGGCACCATATCAATAGGTTTTGAGGGTGTGGTTTGTTAAAAGTCATTGTTGAATACTCAAGAGGGCGCCTTTATGTTTAGGCCCTCAGCCTCGGTCCAAAATTTTGGACACCGGTATCAAAATGAGGGGAATAATCGTCATAGCGAATTTTTGGCAAGGTATATACCTCCAGAGTTGGAAAATATAGCATTAGATTGCAACTGTGGCAGCTTTTTGGGTGTTATTACTTTTTTCCCCAGAAATATCCATCAAAATGCTTGTAACCACTCTAGGGGCAGTATACTTTGCGCATGCGCACTATAATCATTTATGCCCTGATTTGATACTCACCAAACCCCCAGGCTGATGTTCTAATTGTTGAAACTAAAGTAAACTGGCATGACAGTCAAAATGGTATGACCGAAACAATCAGATTTATTAACTTTGAGCAAAGACGTGAAACAAATACACTCTCAAAATAAAGAACGTCTAGCCCATAATTTTCACGCCAAAATGGGCAAGGCAGTTTTCAGAGTTTACGAATAAATGACCTCCGGGGCTACAATGAAAAAATGACGTCACCATCACGCGAAGAAATGATACCATATTCTCTCCAAGTAATGGCCTTCTTCCCCGTTGGAAGATCTGCTGACGAAGCCCAACGCCTTCTTGTAGAACTCTACGGGATGCTTCCTGATCATCTCTTTGGTTGCTCCGAAGCAGCCGTTCCGGCAGTTCTCGATGCCCTTAGCCGGTGGCAGGACGCCGTAGAGATGGTAGTAGAACTCACCGAAGGTCACATTGGCCCTGTCGATCGGGCGGTTCTTCACAGTCTCCAGGTATTCCTTTTGGAAGGGGATTCGTCCCCAGTCCGTATGCAGCTCCAGGAGTCCCAGGCAAGGCACGCCCTTCTTGGCTGAGGTTACGAACTGAAGGATGTCCTTGTAACAGCGACCCTTGAGATGATCTGCCTGCGTGAAGACGGTAACGTTCGCAAGTTGGTGGTAGTTGGTTACGATGTGGTGTAGGAATGAGTGCGACTCGCGCCCAACGTTCTCCAACCGTTCCCAGGCGTACAATTGAAAGGGCGGGCCCGTGTCGTGGCCCTTGTGGTACACGAGGGTGTGGTGGGCGTAGGGCCTCAGCCACTCAATATCCTCGTTGTAGTGAGCGATAACCAACTCGTAGTCCAATGGGATAACCCGGCCCGTGTTCTTCTTAGAGTTGACAACATTTGGACTCGTGTACGTTTCCTCGGGGACGCCCTGCAGTATTTTGTCCACAACCTCGACCCCTTGCATGAATAAGTGATCTGGATTTGCAACCTCGTATCTCCATCCTCCGAACCTCCCACGGGAATAGATGTCTTTGCTCTGCAACCATGGTTGTATCGTGTCCAGTATCGTATCCCTTTTGAGTGAAGGAACGGGATGTCCGTAATCCAATCGACGATAGTGCTTGGAGACAGCCATATCAGCTGTAATAAACCCGTAAGAGACTAAGGCGTCAATTGTTGTTTTTACCAACTCATTTTCTTTCCATCGCCACGGAGGCCGGCTAGTCATCGGTTCTGCGATTTCACACATAAGCGACCAATAAGCTCCCGCTTTGGGTACAAGGTCATCTGAATAATTGGAGAACATTGTCATGCGGTAGAAGGGAGAATCAGAATCCGGGAAATACACCCAAGATTTATCAGCAAGGGTCTTTGGTAGTTGACCGGTGAGGCCAAGGCCTACGATGTGAGTGTGCGTGTACACCAGCTGAGATGCTAGCTCTTGCATCTTTGACAAAGACGAGTCACTGCTCTTGAGAAAGCCAGTAACAATATCCAGAGGCGCTGTAGAAAACAACACATCGTATTCAAGACTGTACTGAGATTTCATATCCTGGCCTGCTTCCACTGTGACTACTTTCTCGTCGATGTTAATTCCGGTAACTTTTTCGTTGAATTTAAACCACTCTCTGGGAAGCCGTCTTGCAATTGCCTCCCAAATTCCTCCTGTTCCATTATATTTGGGGAAACGGAAGAAGCGGTTCGGCCCCCACTCTGTATCCTTGGCCTCGATCCCGTTATCCACCTCTTTAATATTGCTCTTAATCTCTTCAATGTCTGGTACGGAAACCTGCTCCCCAATCCAGGCTGAGTTCATCTCTGTGGCGTTAACAGTCCAGCATTTCTTGTAGTATTTCCTCATGAAGACGTCCGCGAGGCCCGATCCGAATTTCTGCAGCAGCCACTCGTCGAAATTCTCCGGTTTAAGAGTGATCGTATTTCTGGAAATCTCCTCCAATCCCGACAGGCTTTTCTGCTGATCCCCTTCATCCATGATGTGGATGTTGTTTTGCACGGGGTAAGGGATGAACCTTCTCGTTCCATCTGATCCTTTCATGAAGGCAAACGTCGCCATCGGCCGGTAGTTCCACTCGGGCACTGCTCGGTCAAGGATCCGATCGAAGTAGGTGTAATGGGAGAAGTCCGCATTGACTCTGTTGTCCCACAGAAACCCTTGATCGTCTCTCTCAGACGAGTCCAGGCCGCCTGGTTTGCCTTTCTCCTCAAGGACGGTGATCACGGTGTTTTTAGTTTCCCGCCGGAGATCGTGGAGTCTCTGGGCGGCTCCAAGAGCGGTGGGTCCAGAGCCGATGATGACGATTCTGTACCTCTCCGAGTCCCCAATGACATCAGGGGTTGGGGGTGTATTATTTCCTAAAAGAAAGAAAACACTTTTTTTAGCGGTTTTACCAACATTTATCGAGGACAATATGACATTTTGAACAGCTCCGAAACGCTACCACTGTACTGGGGCCAATTACACGGCGCTGCTAAGCACAAAAATTTGCTTTAATAGCACAAACAAGTGTGGCTTATAAAAGCAGGTTACCAGCCAAAACTCCACGTGATGTACATTGCTCGTGATTAGTATTCAACTGTTGTTTGCTGAGCATGAAAATCACAAGGAGTTTTGGCTGATAACCTGCTTTTATAAGCAAGACTTTTTTGTGCTAAGCAATTTTTTTTTGCTTAGCAGCGCCGTGAAATTGGGCCCAGCTGATCAGTATGCGAAGGCTTGTCTTAATGAGGGTGAATTTGGTACCTAAACTAATTTCATTCCCCGTCCTGGAAAGAGTTCCATACCTGGACATCACTTGACACCCTGTGCACAAACCCTATGACTGGTCTGAACAATTCCAAGTGTTTTCTCAGTAAAGGCTTCAATATTTTCCATGCTTAATGTGACTTTTTAGGACATGTTATCGCTTTCTGATGGCCGATAGGTCACTGCGGGGAAAAATTAGCGATGTCCATTATGAAATTCTTCCCGATGTGCATTAAAATTGTTGCCAAAGTCGTTAACGCAAGGAGTGATTCAAAATTTTCATAATACTTTTCAAAGAATGTTTTCTTCATTTGTTTTTATTAAGTTTTAATGATTGCATTTGAAAACCAGGACTAATAAAATATCACTATTATTTACTGAAAGTAACTTCGGTTGACGAATTCCAGTTTGGGAGCAAAATCGCAAAAACCATTTTCCCCCACTCCCCCCCCCAAAAAAAAATTAAGCTAAAGCGTCTCTCGTGGTGGCTTAAATTATGTTGTAATGGATGATCACATATACAAAATAAACAATAGTAATATCTTTCCCCTGCTTTACGTACCTTTATCATCGAAGAACCGCCGAGGAAGAATGCTCGCGTCCCAAGAGCCAAACTCGATCATCAGCGAAATCGCCAGCGATAGCATCAGAGCTGCCAAGAAGACATTTTTCAGACACGATGCCATGGTCTCAAGCTCACAACGTTATAAAGTCAAAACATTTGCAGGAAATTCCCCTCATGCTTTGGATGTCTTTGGATGCTTTTGGATTGTCGCCTCATGTTAAAAAACTCGAATTTCAAGAACCGTTACTTCCAGGCACCTTCAACTTACGGAGGGACCCAGTGAAATTTAGACAAACCCGAACACAGGCAAAGAAACAGGTTGTTCAAAGATCTATAAGCGACTGGGTCAAGAAATCATCCTCCATGTCATGCAAGGAAGAAATCCTCAAAATTTACAGTCATCGACTGGTGTTTCTAAACTGACGTGTACGTTCCACATGAGATGCACAACTACAGTCTGTTGTTTTGATGTTTGCATTGCCAGTTGATGGCATACTGATAATTGACTTCTTGCAATAAGGCGCAAGTAGACATTTTGTGTGTAGCATTGGCGAGCAGTGTGCATACAGTAGGCCTAGGTTTGGACGTTGGTGATCTGAAGAGAACATCATAACATTTTGTCTTTGGACAAAGCATCCAGCCGGGAGCGACTTGGCGACGAGGTCATTTGGACAATTGGCGAATCGATTGGCGCAAAAGTTAAGCGCATAGTCGCAGATGGTGCTTCAGCAAAGTGGTACATTATGTGCCGGTGTAGTGTAAAATTTGGAATTCAATACGGACTCTTTAGTAATTGTAATGTGCATGCCTAATTGAAGACAATCGGGCGGGACAGTGACAGGTAACGTGTGAGGATAATAGACCAGATTTCATAGGAGTCCAAATTTCATATGACACTGGTACTAGCGAGTAGCGGCCTATTCTGAATGATGCTGTTGACCCTATCATTGACACCGTCTCAGGGGCGGCAGAACTTGCCCCCCCCCCCCCATTTTCCCATGCCAACAAAAGTGCCCCTCTCGCGGTTATAAATGTGCCTCCCCGAGATGAAAACAAAACTGCCCCTCAAACGCACACGTACGAAAGCACATGATTGAGCTACAGATGAAATTGTCTCCTCTCTTGTAATGCAAAACTGCCCCACAAAAACCACAAGTACCCCTCTCGCATGCATTAACAAGATTGTGCACTTTCTCGAGATGTAAAACTACCCCTCGACTGAATACCCCTCTCGCAAAAAAATAATATTGTGCCCCTCTCCAGATGAAAAATTTGCCATCAAAAATAATAGTCCTCCTTTCGCGATAACTTCTAGAGATTGAAAACTGCCCCTCCAAAGCACAATTAGTGCCCCGCTCGCGACAAAGTTGTGCCCCCTCTCAAGATGAAAAACTGGCCCCTATAAAAAATAATAGTGCTCTTAACGGGAAAAAAAGATGGTCACTGAACTGGCCAGCGAAAGCAACAGTGCCCCTCTCGCGATAAAAAAAAAGTTCTCTCTACACAACTAGGTAAAAGAAACACACAGAGAAAGATGGACAACGTATTCATAATTTGTTCCTAATCATAATTTTTTGAAGCGAAATGAACGGGACCATATTTATTTATTTATTTATTTATATCGGGCAAACAAGATAAAAATATTAAAAACAAACAGGCCCGAGGATTTCCCAAAAGCGAAAGCAAAATTCTTTTCCTCCACTTTCATAGTGCCCCTTGCCCCCCCCCCCCCCCCCCCCCCCCCCCCCCGTTTGAAAAGCATTCCGCCGCCTCTGCACCGTCTTGTAAATTTTGTATATAGGCCTAATTATAGCTCCGAAACACTTTTACAGGGGGTCAATATGGTAAATTCCGTGGGATGTCCATGGTTACCGTGGCAACCGATCTAAAAGACTAAGTGATTTTGTATTAAAACATTGAAACATTCCTTTTTGTGAATCAAAAAGCAAAGTATGTTTTCTTTCCTCGGGTCGAACTTATCAAGAGCAGGTTTAATAAGAAGAAATTCGTGGCCACGCAACCAATAATGCAATGTAGTTGCCATTTTAAATTTGTTTATTCCTCGGTGTTTTTTTTTTTTTTTTTTTTTTTTTTTTAGAGGGGAAGGGTTTAACTGGTGGTGTTCAGAGAAATTCCATTGTTTCTTTCAATTGATCCGATGGGGCCGGCCCAGGCTACAGGATTTTATATGCAAAGTTTTTATACAAAGTTTTTTATACTTGAAAATAACATGAAATAAAATTGGTGGGCAACCGTGTTAGTCAGGCAGAATCAACTGGAAAAAGTAAGGTAGTATTTTAAATGACTAACTATATAGAGTGAAAGTGTGCATACGTTTTCGAAGCTACATTTACTTGATCAGATGCAATGAAGAGGGGGACTTGTAATTACGGCGAGGGGTTCTGGGCCCGCTTAAAGGCCCCGAATTTAATTTTTTTTTTTTTTGATTCTAGATTCTCTGTGGTGCGATCTGAGGCCATTTTTGACCACTTTAACCATTTTTTAAGGAAAAGATGGTGGTGTACGCAGTGCCTGCCTTGATTGCGACCTCACTTTAAAACGAAATTGGTTGTTGTTGTTTTCGTTTTTTTTTGGGGGGGGGGGGGTGCATGGCCCCCGTTGCCCCCCCCCCCCCCCCCCCCGGATCCGCCCTTGGTCAGGGGCATCATCATAAAAATAACATGGTGAGACCACGGAGGAAAGCAATAGACTATTCATTCCTCCATGGTGAGACAACTTTGATAGGCCTATATGAGAGGGTTACAGAAATTCACTTTATGTTTGTGAATTGACAACTCCCAGAGAGCTGAGGCTGGTGTCTGGTACTGAGAAGTTTCGACGGCCGCTCTTGCCAGGTTTCTTTTTATCCAAACGAAAAGCTCGGGACTACTTCACAATCCCCCTGTCACTGATGACGGAGCCGAATTTTTGGGAAAAAATATATTTGGATATCTTTATAATCGTACATCACTATTTTTATTGGAAGAGCGAACCGATCCAGCAGCTTTTGGATATCAGTCCGTATTGTAGAAATAGCGCCACCATGCGACGTTGGTTTTGGACGGACACGCAAGGCCTTGTAAACAATTTTTCTTGCTACCGTTGCTAAGTAATAAGTAAATAGCCCAACTGGGCGCTTTCTTCGTCGAGGACCCATTCATCACTACACTGAATTGGGCTCCCTTTGGGCGATTTCAATCAATTTTGTCGTGTGCACAGAAAAATTAAGATCACATCAACTGCAGCTGCAACAAGGGCTGAAAAAAAAGAGAAAAAAAAAACAATCTTTCCGAAAGTGTAATTCTGAAAATCTACAAGAATGTCGGATCTTGGCTCAGACTACGACGAAGAGGAACAAGGACCGTATTTAGGGGTGAGAAATTTTGAAGGAAATCAAATAGGGCCTTTAAATAAATAAAAAAGTTAAAATAGTATGAAAAATAGTGCCCAGTTTCCGGACAAAATGTGTAAAAATCTGCACAATTTAAAGGGGGATTTCGGCCTGAATTCCCGAATGTTTTATGTTTTTGATTGTTTACTTATCCTATTTCAAGGTCTGTTTTGAAAGCAAACTAACCTAATGACCCGTACCGTTCCCGAGAAAAGAAAGAAAAAAACAGTTGTTTTCACATAAAAAAATGCTCGTACGCTCATGTGACGCTCATGACGCTACATTCAATTGGCTTAGGCTAGCTCTACTGAGTGGAGCGTTGAATTACGGGTACCCCTCCATACAAACGCTCCACCGATTTGCCATACTTTGGTAGCACCATACACGGTCGTCATGACGGTATGCATTTTGTGCATGCCCTCGCGAGGACAAGGCCCAAAAAAACTGATAAAGAAAATACAAATGAGGAAGACAGTAACCCTGGATAGATCCACACATTCATGACATTCCATATGACCCCTCAAATTGTTTCAAACAACCGGTAATTTTGAAAAAAGAACAAAATAGTCTGAACTTACCGCTCACAATTAAATGTGTCTGCCGAGTTGCACAGTCTATTTCACTGACATGACTGATGCATAATTCATTGCGCGCGTGTGTGACGTCACTATTGAAGAAAAACAAGTCGCGCTTAATCAATGACTGTTTCATGTACTGATATGTGCCCCGCACCAAAAACCCACAGTCAGACGGCGCGGGGCACATATGACTACTTAAAACAGCTATTGAGTAAGCGCAACTTGTTTTTCTTCAATAGTGACGTCACACACGCGCGCGATGAATTATGCATCAGTCATGTCAGTGAAATAGACTGTGCAACTCGGCAGACACATTTAATTGTGAGCGGTAAGTTCAGACTATTTTGTTCTTTTTTCAAAATTACCGGTTGTTTGAAACAATTTGAGGGGTCATATGGAATGTCATGAATGTGTGGATCTATCCAGGGTTACTGTCTTCCTCATTTGTATTTTCTTTATCAGTTTTTTTGGGCCTTGTCCTCGCGAGGGCATGCACAAAATGCATACCGTCATGACGACCGTGTATGGTGCTACCAAAGTATGGCAAATCGGTGGAGCGTTTGTATGGAGGGGTACCCGTAATTCAACGCTCCACTCAGTAGAGCTAGGCTTAGGCCTACCGTTTTACCTTGTTTCAGAGATGCCACTTTTCCGTGTTTTTTTTTAATCTCACAAAATTCTGGTTTTTCCGGCCATAAAACAACTGGAAAAAGAGCAGAAAAACTGTGGTGGAAATGCATTGATTTTACCTCGTTAGCACTCTTGAGTTTTTATGTCGTAAGAATTGCGAACGCGCGGCCGCGAAACATTGTTCGTTGAAATAGTCTTAAAAACAAGGCCAACCTACTTAATTGCATAAAATGGCACCTCGCGTGCTGCACTGCGTGCAGGCGTGTTGTGTGCTAAGCACACAAGACATTCATCCTGGAAATCAATCATTTAGTTATCGGTGGTTCCCAATCGCAGTGATATATGTGAATACCAAAAACGCCGGGTACCAGCCATGCTTTCGTTGCGTGCATCGCATAGTGCAAAGGTCATGTACACCGACAGTGTTGTGGAATCGAATATTACGTTGGAAATTCGGGTAGGCAGAATAAATAATAGGAATATGGAAAAATTCAAAGTGATTGAACGAACCGACAGCTTAAAGGCCATAGAAGCAAAAATAAATGGAACTGGGCTTGGCTACAATAAGAGAAAGAGGACAACGGGGGCTTTGTGTCCGAGTGGCTTTTTCACAAAAAATAAAGTTCCGCTTTTTTCAAGCAGCTGTTCCGGTTTTTTTTCAAGCAGACCCATTTCCGTTTTTTTCAAGCAGACCCATTTCCGTTTTTTTTTCAAGCAGACCCTGTGGCATCTCTGCCTTGTTTACAGTAACTTCACCGAATTTCCACTTTGCCAACAACCACTTCGCCTATTTGCCACTTCGCCTATTACCACTTCGCCAAAGTACCACTCTGCCAAATTACCACTTCACCGAATTACTAAGATGCCTTTACTAAGTGATATCTGTGATCAAGTTTTAAACACTCCCTTGAGTCCTTTTCATTAATCACGAGTTTATCGATCTGTTACAAAGTTAGGGGCAATTCAAAATGTTCGATATTTCAAATTTCAATTTTTTTCCCCGAAAATGTAGGTGGGTGGGTCAAATTAATTTTTTGAAATTATTGATTATTGAATTCACTTTTTTCAATTAGAGGAAAGTAGAGGTAAAACGTCAAAGTGTGCCGCACCATTATGCATGCCTTTCGTAGTTCCACGTGTACGTATGTACGTGCGTGCATGTGCGTGTGAGCATCGGCTTAGGCGAAGTGGCAAATGGGCAAAGTTTATTTTTTTTAAACTTGGCCTAGGCTAATATTCGGGAAGACATTTTGAGGAGTTCTCTGCAAGATTTTTTCTTGAGGGCATGGGTGATGCACCTTTAAGATTTTGATTTTCTCTATTTTATATGCCAAGTAGCTTCTATGGTGAATGTCAAGAGAAAAAAAAAGTCTAGATTTCAATTTCAGGAAACACAACTTTTTAGCAAATTTAGCATGCATCGCTGTGTGGCTCTAATTCAGGAGGATGTCCAGTATTTGAGACACGTTTATGGGGCTATTCTCATTGTAGAATCACCGATTTTGATGATTGTTTTGTTTTTTTCAGGAGTATGAGGGAGAACGAAACGAGAAGGAGGAGAGGCATGGTAAAGGAAAGGCCACATTACCCAACGGCGATACTTACGATGGCATGTATGAGTTTGGCAAGAGACAAGGCCAGGTATGTGCAGACTTTAGTCCAACCGCCTCTGCTAACAATAGGCTCCCCTTTTAACGGCAAGTGCCTATCCAGTGCGTTGGTGCCTTTGTCATACACAGGCATGATTACAAGCGCCAACTGGCTAAACATTCAAGTTGCGTTAACTTCCGGTTCCATTCGTGCTATGTTACACCGTGTGAAGTACGCATGGTTAAATTGAGATGACGTCACACTAACAAACAGGATACCGTCAGACCGTCATATCATCCGCAAACATCACCTAAACAACTTTGTTAACTGGAAAATGTCTGATTTCTCACTTTTTGAAATCGCACTGCTTACAGAACATCTTTAATGTGATCTTCAAGTCTTGGCCATTACTACAACTTGTCATATACTTTAAAAAAAAAAATTACCAGTGAATTTGCTCTCCGACTCTGGGCCCTGTTTTGTCAAGCTTCAACTTTGTCTGATCGATTGAAGTCAAAATTTGCATTAGGTCTGATTCCCTTCTAGTGTAAATGAAGTCGCAAGGATGATGTAAGCATGGCACCTGACAATAGTGATGTCATAGTGTGTGCATGTTTCAGGGTGTTTATATCTGCATGACCTCTCGCTGTGTTGCTTGTGCAAGCGGCATGTCAGCGACAGTTGTATCATGGTTCCTCACTTACTATCCAGAAAAAACTTCCATCACATATTTTATAAGATGGAATTTGCATCTGGAAGATTATAAACTATATTACTCAATGCTTGCAAAAAAATTCACAATCTTACTCGGATGGGACTCGGGCTCGAACCCACAACCTCCTGCTTACTAGTGAAGACGGCTTACCACTCAACCAGCGAACAGTAAAACTGCCAGATTTAATCGTATTTGGTTATGATTGGTCCATACAGGGAGTGTACAAGTTCAAGAACGGTGCCCGTTACATGGGAGAGTACAAACATAACAAGAAGCATGGAACAGGAACGTTCATCTATCCAGACGGCTCCAAGTATGACGGTAAGGGCGGGATGTTCGGGATGGTATGCCCCAACCAAAGCATTGGTCCCAATTATAGTCCCAACAGTAATTGGGAAGACCCCAACAACATGGTGGGATCAGACCAATTGTAGTTGGTAACGCGTCCCAACTATACTTGGGACAAAGCTGTCGTTGGGGGCCGTAACAAAGATTTAGAAATGAGAACTAGTTTGAGGGCCAGATAATGAGGGAGGCATGCCCCAACTGAAGCATTGGTCCCAATTATAGTTGGGATGGTCCCAACAATAGTTGGGAACACCCCTACGATTACGTTGAGATCAGCTGAAGTGTAGTTGGGACCATCCCAACTATACTTGGGATAATGCTCTGTTGGGGCGTTACAAAGATTTAGAGATGAGAACTAGTTTGAGGACCAGAAGTTGAGGGAGGCACACCCCAACTGAAGCATTGGTCCCAGTTATAGTTGGGATGGTCCCAACAATAGTTGGAAACACCCCATCAATGTACTGGGATCCCCTGAATTGTAGTTGGGATCATCCCAACTATACTTGGGACGATGCTCTGTTGGGGTATAACAAAGATTTAGAGATGAGAACTAGTTTGAGGGTTAGAAGTTGAGGGAGGCATGCCCAAACTGAAGCAATTATAGTTGGGACAGTCCCAACAACAGTTGGAAGACCCCTACAATTTTGTTGAGATCACCTGAAGTGTAGTTGGGATCGTCCCAACTATACTTGAGACGATGCTCTGTTGGGGTGTAACAAAGATTTAGAGATGAGAACTAGTTTGAGGACCAGAAGTTGAGGGAGGCATGCCCCAACTGAAGCATTGGTCCCAATTATAGTTGGGACCGTCCCAACAGTAGTTGGGAAGACCCCTACAATTATGTTGAGATCACCTGAAGTGTAGTTTGGATTGTCCCAACTATACTTGGGACGATGCTCTGTTGGGGCGTTACAAAGATTTACAGATGAGAACCAGGCCAAGTTTGATGTCTGTATTCACTTTCAAAGATTGTAACGTTTTTGAATGGAGCAGTGTTGAGGACCCCCAAAAGTGACTAACGACAGCTTCACAGCTTTAAAGGGAATGTACAACATTTGCTTTTGCTGCAATTTTCAGAAATAAATGGATTTGGAGGATCAGTATGTTATAGCAAATATTGTTGAAATTACTTGTTTCACGTTTTGGGCTTGTAAATGCTGGAAAAACCAAGAAAACCAATCATGTTCTGGTAGTCTGGTTCCCTGACCTCACTTACGATGAAACGGAGCATTTTCCTTGAAAATGACAGCACACCAGGAGCCACGATTTTACAGGATGCTATAGACTGTCATCCCCTAACAATCTAGTAAAGGTATTTCGTAATAATTTGATCATTTCATTTTGTGATGTTTGCAAATGTTGTATCTTCCCTTTAATTAATAATGCACAGCACATGGCACAGGTGCAATCCAGTCAGTACTTATAAAGATCACTTCTAAGAACAAAGTCAGAATGTTAATACAACCTTCTCTCGTCCCCTAAATCCACACAGGCAACTGGGTAGATGACCAGAGGCACGGCTTTGGCACCTACACCTACCCCAATGGGGACACCTATGAAGGTGAATGGCAGAGCCACCTGCGGCACGGCCAGGGCGTGTACACCTACAAGGACACAGGCACCCGCTACGTGGGTACCTGGGTGAATGGGAAACGTGAGGGGGCTGGGGAACTGATCCACGCCAACCACCGGTTCCAGGGCGGATGGATCGGCGATCAGGTAATACGCACTTTCACTGTTACCGGTATATGTGCCACCTTGTTCATGGGGCAAAAAGAACATGCGTTGCTAGACACGAGCACATAATAAGAATGAATGATGACTCGGAAGCGCAAAAGTTTTCGATTGACGTGTGTACTCAGCAAATGCGTGTTCTGTTTCTTTTACATAAGATTGCACATATTGAAAGTGCTGATTGGAATACATGTTTTTTTAAAGCTGTAGTCCATCATTTGCAGCTTTCCGAAAAGTAAATGGCGTAATTATTGTTGAAAAACATACTTGGTTGAAAGATAGTAAGGGGACTAAACTCCCTGTGAAATTATTCTTTCTGGCAAGCTGTCGTTTTGAAGTAATCAACGAAAGAAGGCCTTTCCAACGGTGCTTCTTAAGACGCACCGTAGGAAATTAAAATTAGTAGTTTATTTTGTTATTGGGCAAAGCGCGCGCAAGCATTGGCACGACGCACACGCATGCGCGGTTGCTATAATTCGTCGGATCAGTGCGCGACATCGCGTAGCAGCAATCGGCTCAGTGACAACGTGTCTCTGATGCTGAATTCAGGCCCAATTCAAAACATGATTCAGCAACTTTTGATTTGAAATTGAGATCCTATAATGCTGTTTTCTCGGAATATACAGCTGAAGCTGAGCTGAAACTTTATCAGGTTAGTTGTTCAGTACCCTTCTTTAGATTTTGAGAACTTTTGTTGCTTTAAACGAACAAAATGCACACATTACAAATGATGGACCATATCTTTAATACGTTTGCTCCCTTTACTACTTTTGCTTCCTTTATTACTTTCGCTTCCTTTACTACTTTTGATTCCTTTAGTATTTTGCTTACTTTAGTACCTTTGCCTACTTAAGTACCTTTGCTGACTTTGGCCAGTGTCTGTGAAATCTGGCATATAATCAACTTGTCAGTTGACTTAGACTATATTTCAATAATACAAAGACAATATTTTTTTGATACTAAATAAATCTTAATGATTTCAAAATACTGGACCTTCGATCCCAGTGGTGTAACGCCTTTAAGAGAAAAACAAAAGGACCAGATACAAATTGGCCAGATCTGAGCTATATGGATAATTCTTCACTTTCCTTGTGGTCACAGTATCATGAAAATTGTGCTTACTAGTCATCTCGCAGAACCTTTGAAGTTCTGCTCATGCTGCCTGTTTGCAGTTTCTCTAACACCACTTAGCTTATTGCATTTTGAAAATGTCCACCCAGAAAAGTACCCGATAATACCAAATACTGCAAAATATTTGTGACGGTATACCGCAGACTCTCAAAATACAAAAACCGCCCACACCTACTTGTCAGAGTAAAGCGTTATTCAAGTTTTGAAGGTGATTTTTTTCTCTTACAGCCACAAGGGAAGGGCAAGTACTTGTTTGACATCGGCTGTGAACAGCATGGCCAGTACGTTCCTGTAGAGCAGGTAAGTTTTAAAGTTCCTACGAGCGATTGAGGCTGGTGCATGTAAAACTTGATCAGTGCATTTTGAATATACATGTACAAGCCGAAGTTAGAGTAATTGAATACTGAATCATTTGAATATGCGCAGCCCTATACATTTTTAGACTGAGGTGCTAGTTTTGTAGTATTAGAGGAGAATGCAAAATTCAACAACCTGTAACTTGAGGTTGAACCTCAAAGTACCCCATAAAACCCTATTAAACCTCACGGTAAACCTCGAGGTCAACCTCGAGGTCAAACCTTGAGGTCAATCTCGAGGTCAACCTCAAGGTCAAACCTCGAGGCCAACCTCGAGGTTGACCTCGAGGTCAACCTCGAGATAAACCTCGAGGTAAACCTCGAGGTAAACCTCAAGTTATCGCTTGTTTAATTTTGCATTCTTCCCTGACATGTAGGTAACCTTGGGCTCACGTGACCAGTAAAGTCTTTAATGATCATATTCGATACTTAGGTAACTACATGTAGATACGTTTTGAGCTTTCCAACGAGGCATCACACCAAAAATTGCCAACAGCGAGATCGATTATAAATGTATATCAATGCTTGCACGTTGCATGAAAAGAAAATGTAAGGCGTTTTGGCAATATGAGACAGAATTGGGCAGAGGTCAATATGGGGGTTTGCAGGTCTTAGGAAAGAGAAAAAAAATCTCCTTACAGTACTATTTGTTGCACTTCAGTCGGACGTTCCGTTGACAAGTTATGGCTGTTTAAAGTTTGAATTTATCGACATGTCAAAAAAGTAAATAACGAGGAAAAGGCCTAAGATGTTTTGAGTTTTGAATTCGTGAAAATGAAAGATGCCAATGGTTTTCCTCAAAAATACTTTTATTCCACGATTTGTATACTATTACTTTAAAATATGTGTAGTAGACGCATCAAAGATAACAAATATCAATAAATTTGCAAATGAAAAAAAAATTACCCCGATTGTTTTTGGGTTTTTTCTCCACTATGGCCTATGTCCAGTTCCATCTCATTTTTGCAAGAACGCCTCACAAAAGTTTTGAAAGTCTGAGTAAGAGGCGGGGATGTTTTTGGAAGTTTGAGACACAGTAATACAAAAGTCGGGGTGAAATTCATAATTGGGCTCTCAAATGACGGTTGTGTTGGTCTTGTTTCCAGCCGCAGAATGGGGACCAGGAGGACGAGGAGGCACAGACCGTCACCATACCCAAGTGGCGGGCAGGGGAGATCCGGGCCGTCAGCGAGTACAACCCAGCCGAGGAGCTGGCAGCAGCGGCTGCAGCGGAGGCCGAGGCGCAGCAGCAGCAGCAGGCCCAGGAAGAGGCAGAGAAGATGGAGGAAGGGGGCGGGGAAGGGACGCCGGAGGGAGGGGCTGAGGGGGAGGCTCCTGCAGGTAAGGATCTCAGTCTGTCGAGTCTCCAGTGACTGCCTAGTATGAAGAGTCAGGCAAAACACGGAAAGAATGTTGCGTCCTTTTTTATCACATATTATACAAATATTGAGTGGCTCAGGGTGAAATGAGAGGAATATTATCGCAAGGTAAAATCTGGACTTTCGCATCGTGAACTGGAAAAGTCCAGATTTTACCGAGCAATAATATTCCTCCCATTTCACAATTTAAAGCCACCCAGTATTTGTTTTTATATAACTGACATGTAGATCCTTGTCAATTGATATATTTGAACTTTTATTTCAATAAAAACTGGAGGAAAATGTATTTCTCTCTTCCAAACCACCCCTTCACGAAAATGTTTGAACCCAACGCTGTAGCGCTGGCTCTTTGGAACAATACGCGCTCCGCGCAACGCTGAACGTACACACCAGCATGCATTTGCACATAAATACCGCGTCATGGAACAAGAGTGATCCCAACTGTTCCAATAGTATTTCCCATTCCCCATGAGCGGATAGTACTTTTTGAGCCGCAGCATGAATGGGAGCAATAACGAATGTCACGTGATATGAGTTCCACCAATCAAATTACAAGGATATGTATGTCAGTTATATAATATCTCAATGAAGGTCAGTCATTGCAAAAATGTTGAAAAGACATGAATCTGGGACTGAGAAACATTTCCAATTTGGTTAGAAAATCTTTTGAAAATGCACTCCACTCTCCACAGACTTTGTACACAACCAAAAAACATGGCGTCTGGATACTGCATTCTTTCCCAAAACACACACACTGCTTTCGATAGTCACATATGCCTTTGACCATAATTCACTCTACTGGTGGTCTAGCGGTCTTTCAGTCCACTAATCATTATATCATGTTAAATTCTCCATCTGGAGTCCAATGTGACCCAGTCAAATGTCCAATTTTTTTATGAACTAATTTTAATTTTAGTTCACTTTTTGTTTCCCCAGAAATTTGCTTGATAGCATTGAAGAATTGTCTTGCATATTACTTGATTTAACCCTTATTTTAGCACATAAACAAACAACAGGTACTTTCAGAAGTACTAAAAAAAAAAAAAATTGTGGAACCTTTTTAGGACACATAATAAATTCCCTGGAGTGGAAAGTATCCTTCACGTAAAAATAAACAAGTAAACTTAAAAAAAAAACTTACAGGGATTTTTTTCTGCGAGGGGAGTTGTTTCAAGATCATTTTCAATATAAGTTTGAAACTTTAGGAGGGTATTTAAAATGTTATAAGTTTTTTATAGCAGCCAGTATTCAACAACTAGGTTTTCCAACATCTTAAAAAGTCCAGAAACATTGTGAGAATTTTTTTTTATACCCAAGAAAACTCTCTCACTTAAAAAAACAAGAACACATTTTAATATTATTCCTAAGAATTGGGCTTATACTTGTTTGGTTTCTTGGAGCCAATAATCAAGGTGCTAATTTTCAAAAAAAGTGGGGAAAGCATCAAGAACAATTGTGAAACCTTTTGTCCCTTACTTGTCCTGGATATTTTGGCGAGGATTTTGTCTTAATTACGGTACCTTTCGTTTTAAATCTATTCATTCAGCCCAAGAAGGAGCCCAAGAAGGTGCCCAAGAAGGTGAACCAGTTGCACCCCCCGAAGAAGGCGAGGCCCCGCCCCCAGCGGAGGGGGATGACAGCCAACAGGAGGCCGCCGACGAAGGTGGGGAGGGAGGCGACGACCCGGCCGCCCCTTCACCAGTAGTGGAAGAGGCCGAGGAAGCAGATTAAACAATAGGTCAGCACTAACACTCCTGGATCCTTCCATGTCCACCAGGGGTAGGGAAGGATATTTTTTAAATAGTTTTTGTGAAGTTTGTACATTCCCTTAAAGTTTTAATGTAATCTATGCTCATCATAATCATTCATTGCCTTCCCCAAATCGTTCAAAATCCACCAGTTTTTTTTTTTTTTTTACATGATTGAAAAAGTGCTCAGCCCAGTCAATTTTGCTTTCCGTTAGCCGTTGTGATATGTGGACACAATAGGAGGGCGCTAATTAGATTGGGTTAATTAGATTAAATCATAGAGTTATATTAAAGGGAATATACAACATTTGCAAACATCGAAAAATAAAACTACCAAGTTTTTACGAAATACCTTACTAGGATGTTGGTAAATGACAGTCTCAAGTATCTTGTAAAATTATGGCACCTAGTGTGAAGTCATTTTCAAGAAAATGATATTTTTGAATACATTTCCAACGGTGGTCGGCCGACCAGCGTTGGAAAAACCTAACTATTTTTCAACTACTGCTCCAAATTTACCATTTGTTCAGTCCAAATTGTGTTTGCTATTGGTTACATGTTCATGAACGGGTGCAGGCCAGCTAGACTGGTTCCCTTGCCTTACAATTTTCCATCATCTATAAATTGATCCATTTTATCTTTTGTGGAGTCAGGGAACCAGACTATTTGAACATTTTTGTTTTTCTTGGTTTTTCCAACCTTTTCGAACACAAAACTTCAAAAATGTCAGTGTAACAATATTTGATCTATTATACTAACCCCTCAAATGGTTCATTTCTGAAAATTACAGCAAAAGCCAATGATGTACATTCCCTTTAAATATAAACTAGGGAGTGCACTCGCTATGCTTCGGGCACTATGCGGTCGTGCCGGTAAGGACGCGAGATGACCATTTTCTAACTAGGCAAAATGCAGAGAGTTTTCAGTACTGAAACTGGGCATGTCTGGGCGTTTCATAATCGTACTCTGTCTAGTTATACACTCCTGTTTGCCCACTTTGAAAATGGCCGCCACAATTCTTGGTCGGCATGTTGGCGTATAACGAGTGCAATCTCTCGTTTATTTATGGCTCAATCTACGGGGTATTAAATAAAGAGTTTACCCATTACTGTGTCCATTATATCTCAAATATGCAAATTGGGCTTCATGCCCCTTGAGAGTGCGAAGATGAGCTTATTGGCACTGTGGTGGATTTTGGAGGATTGAGGAAGGCTCAACAAAAAGTACTTTGAACGTTGCAGTTTATATGGAACAGGAATGAATAGTGTATTATTTGCACTGCAGTCATCTACGAGGCCTGTGCTTTTGTTCAACAGGGATGTATACACATTGTGCATTCATTGTTAAAGGGAATGTACATCATTGGCTTTTGCTGTGATTTTCAGAAATGGACTATTTGAAGGTTTACTATAATAGATCAAGTGTTGTTACACTGACAAGTTTGAAGTTTTGTGTTTGAAAATGCTGGAAAAACCACGAAAAACAAATATGTTCAAATAGTCTGGTTCCCTGACTCCACTAAAGATGAAATTGATCAATTTATAGATGCCGGAAAATTGTAAAGTAAGTGTAACAGTCTAGCTGGCCTGCACCCGTTCATGAACATGTAACCAATAGCAAACAAAATTTGCACTGAAAAAATGGTACATTTGGAGCAGTTTAGTTAAAAAATAGTAAGGATTTACCCAACGGAGGTCGGCCGACCACCGTTGGAAATTTACACAAAATAGCACTTTTCTATAAAATGACTTCACATCAGGTGCCATAATTTTACAGGATGCTTTAGACTGTCATTTACCAACATCCTAGTAAGGTATTTCGTAAACATTTGGTAGTTTTGATTTTCGATGTTTGCAAATGTTGTATATTCCCTTTAATGAATTAACATCACAAAACACACCTCCAAGATGGCTGCCAAATGCAATCGATCTATATCTGTTTTGTTTTTTGTTGCATTTTTTTTTGGGGGGGGTCTTTGCGCGTATTTTTTGTTTTGAAGGATGTGATCGAAATGTTCAGAGGGTGTCACTTCCCTACACCAATGCAAAAACATCCGTCTGAAACAAAAAAATGTTTTCACTCGTTATTTGTACATAGTTTTACATGTATGTGTTTGTAAAGACTTTCATTCTGTTTATTGACGGCACCGATGCTATTTTAATTGAAGAGAATGCGCAGGATTCCCCTTTCGAAACAGAATTTGCAGAAACAAGGACGGACAAAAAAGTCTCTGATAACTGTGTAATATTCATGACTTTATGATAGACCTTATGCACTAAGGCCGAGTCGGAGGGCACTGGTCTTGTAGGCTCCATCTATACACACCATAAATAATGTATATCGCCCTCTGGAGTTCACTTACAGACAGGCTCCCTTCAGCAGTACAATGGAGAAGAAATTTGCCTAAAATATTTGTAAAATTGTGTATATCTTCCTGGATTAATGAATGTTTTTACAGTTTACCTTAGGTTTTTTGTAAGGATTTCGACTTCCCTTTCTGGAGAAAAATTAGTCTTTCAGTGAAAAAAGACCAAAAGTTTTTGGACAAAATGAAAAGATGACACGTTTTAGCTGTCACAGTCCTTACAAGTGTTCACATTCCTTCACTTTAATTCTTAGAATAATTCAAGTACAAAATTGGGAAAAACCAAGCACGTCCAATTTTGGTTCTGAAAAAAAATTGGTCAATTTTAGCCGCGGTGAAGGGCACACCCTCCGTGCATTTGAGGTCATGTGCAGACTTAATTGACAATTGCAGAGTATTTGATTGAACAGTTTGCATGCATCTTTGAACTGTTCGAGTACCGACTCAAAGTCTTTAATAGTACTACATCAAGTTTTAACTTCGCACAGAGTAAGCACGGGTGTCCACTTGTATAACAAGTTTTGTGAAGTACTACATTCCCTCCAATTTACAGAGTCACGGTTAAGCTCTGCACGCAATTTTCTGGTGACTGAAGCCCTGTTCATATCAAAGTGACCAAGTTGCAAAGTACAGCATGCTATAGACGAGCAGAATGTGCATAAACTTAGTGTCCTGATTCAAATGAAGAGTTATTTTTTTTCGAAATACGCCATTTTGTTCCCTTTTAGAATCCTGCTCTCTCCTGGCTGCCCAAAAGCAATTTCAACGGCTGTTATATACTTAAGGCCAAAAAAAAAAAATATTTGGTCTCTGGTCAGACCAAAGTTCCTGAATTGACGCGGCTTTTTTTTTCTTTCTTCAAGCTTGGATTGTACAGACAAGGTGGGGTACTATTTTGCTTTTTTGGTGTCCTCATGTACATTGGTGTCCTCCATAATTTGCCTTGGTGCTCTCGATCATTTGCCTTGGTGCAATTTCCCATTCCTTGGTGCTCTTTGGTAGAAACAATTGAGGAGGTGCAGCAATAGAGGGCGCTGTTGGAGCTACCGCGGAACATTTTGGAGGAAAAAAGATTGACGTGCATGATTAAAATCGACGCGCGCGCTGACCAGAGACCGACTTATTTTTTATTTTTTTGGCTTAAACAAAACTTAAGAATCCAGTTAAGCGAAAAAATGAAGTTTCGAAACATCTGTTATACTGTTTTTATTCTTTAAAGTTTCATAACCGTGCAAACTTTTCACCTTTTTCAAATGGATATGTCGTGTTTTGGATATTAACTCTTCAAATATACAATGTACATGTTCCAGTATTTTATGAATAATGCAAGATATGCGCAAGGATTAACAGCACATTTGCCTACTTCATTTAAGCACAGGTTCAGGTTTATTTATAAAGCTTTGGTATGCTTTGCTTAAATGCCACTGCATACATATTCGATGTCACTTTCTGAGTTGTGTGAAGAACTTTTACGGATTTTTCAGCCAAATATAACTGTTTTATTGTAATTGGAATAGATCCGTCCCTTTTACATCAATTGTACATTTCTGATTTGAATACTTTTTTAAAAAATTGCTATGATTAGGTTTCCTGTTTTTGTATTTATATATAGGAATATTTGGTGCCTTGTTTTGATTTCCAAAAATGAATTAAATTGTCTGTATTTCTTGACATTTTGAGGCGCGAGTTGTGTTCTTTTCATATGTTGTACATTTCATTAGGAGTGATAAAGTTTGATAAAACAGTTGATACTTTCTGAGACAGAAAAGAACAAAGTATCAAGCTGAAGGTTAGGGTTTTTATCAAGCGTTTTCCTGAAGTTGAACTCAAATTGAACATTTTTAGATGAAAACAAGGATACTGATAATTATTGTTGGGGGGGGGGGTGTCTTAGAATCACCAGGTGTCCAACGGATCCCTCTCCGTTCAATGTCTGATATGTGAGCAATGCAAATTTTATGTGAGCCAGCCAATCGGAGTCGACTTAAGAAATGACATCATTTTGAATAGAAATGTGGACAAGTTGTTGATTGGTCAATTGGCCGAGTTTTTTTGTAATACAGTGGGTTACGAAAGACCAAATAGAAGGTGCCCGCTGAATGGTCAGAATCTTGAGGTCAAGAGGCAGTCTTGTTTGCATAATTAATCACTGAATCTGCTTGCACATCATAGATCCACGCTATGCAAGGGGGTACTTCATAGACTGGGGGGGGGGGGTGAAGGCGGAAAACCGAGCAGCTCAGCTCGACTCGTTTTTTAGTCGAACATGCTTCACACCACCACGTTATTAAACACATTACGTAGAAATAGTGGTTTTTGTTACGGTTTCAGTGCTCAAAACTAAATTTGAACTCGCTATGGATTGCCATTTTAGCAATATCTGCATTTTAGCAATATCTACATTGCGCACTGGACTTCATAAGAACCAAGGCCGATTCATACTCGGCGTGAACACAAATTTGTGAAACAACAAGTTATCCACTGTTAAAGAGTTCCAACACATTTCGACACCAGTGATTTTCGCAGCAAATGTTTCATGACGTCAAGTTCGATGAATTATGAATAGGCCTTTTGGAAAGAATGCAAAACAAAACTCCACACTGAACTCTGAAGTACACAGTGAAGCCCATGGCTCGATTCACTGCCTGTTTCACTGCCACTGCCGATTCACATTCTCCCCTTATAGACATTACAACAATAAATGACAATAGGCCTACATGTAAATGAATTTTGTGCCCGATATAAAACCAGGGAATTTATTGTCTCTTCAAGTAACAAACCCTCTCTCCCAAAGTAACATATCAATTGGCAAAAAGCTTACTTGGATGAAAGATAACTGGTAACTAAACACTCTGTGAAAGGGTTCCGTCTGGCTTGCAGTCTTTTAGAAGATATCAAGAAATGTACGTGATTTCCAACGATCAGTCAGTTGACCAATTTTTGGAAATAAAGAGTGCTACATGTATTGACGAAATCGTGTTTCCTGATCAAAAGGTTGTGCATGGTTTTTCACTGTTTTCTCAAGAAGTGTACACTGTAATGTCCACTGAGCTGAAACGTTAACAAGTTTAGGTTTTGAACATTATTCTTTGGATTTCGAGTGGTGGTGTTATTGGAAGCAAACAAAATGCATGAAAAGAAATGATATGTACAAAGTCAGTTCGGTATTCCAAAATAGTCTGGTGCACAACAAGTTTCGGCAATTTTTTTTTTTTTTCAGGATAAACGTGGCAGATAAATGCACACAAGGCTACGGGGAACCAAATTTGCATTCTGTGTGTTTTCCTGCAATCGAAAAAGAGATGGAAACTTTCATTTGCACAAAAGTTTGGACATACAAGACACCTAAAAACTCTTCGCTGTCCACAAATTTGTTTTTAAATGTTACTTAAGAACATGACGATCTCTTCAATTTGGCTGGTACCCAGCTTTGCTTTTGCACGCATACGATGAAATGTTTATCCTGAAACAGAAATTGTCAAATGTTTATGTGCACATGCGCTGCCAGAATACTGAACTGGCTTACTGTAGGGGCTACTGATCATTTCTGGTTCAAGACAGATCCAAGACTTGTGCTTTAATTATTGCATGAGTGTTACAATTGCTGGTGGTACAAGATTTGAGGTTTTGCATGGTGGGGTATCGGTATCGTTTCGGTTTGCGGTAACACCATGTGGTAATAACTACTGCTTAGAAGATATTATTAGTTCTGAAAAGAACTTGTCCTGCTTATTATCAACTTTGCTAAGTAGTTGTTTGTTCTGATAAGAACAGTCCTGCTGTAAGTTCTAAACGAACTTGTCTTTGGTCTCAACATTTCGACTAGCCTGCTCTAGTCATCGTCAGGAGACTGCTAAGCAGTAGTTATTACCACATGGTGTTACCGCAAACCGAAACGATGCTGGTGTTACCATACTAAAAACCCTTTATACCGCAGACGGATGATTATCATGGATTTTCCCCCAGAATTGTTTCCACTTTGGAGAATAAAACTGAAATGTACGATGTAGAATAAGAACAAATACAACATTTCAAGGAAGATGTCAAAAAAGTACAAGTCCCTTGGTGTTGGCTGAATTTGACGACTGCCCTGCACTACATACAGCATAATTAGTCACATACTGTTTCATGAAATTGGCTGCAGAGGTAATAACTGCAAAGCTCTTGGGGAGGGGGAAAGGGAAAGGGATAGGGGGGAGGAAAACGCTATAATTATAAGCACCACACCCCGACACACTTTTTATCATACGTCATCAAGGCCTCATTCACCGTTTTTCCCACTGATTCTCCTGAAGACCCCTCTGCATCTGGTTTGACATCATCACCTTCTTGTTGTTCTCTCCGCTGTGATCACCGCAGCGCCCAATTCCTGAGACACTAACATGTGGTTCTGTTCACTCAATCACAAGTTAGGGTCTCAGGGACTGGGAACTGGGCATATTTTGACGTCGTGCAGTCCAGTGCCTCAATCAATGAGTCCTTTCAAATCAGATCTCGGAGGGGAACACTGGCCCCTTGGCAACTATAAAACATCCAGTGGTCTCATCGAAACTTTCTAGCAGGATGGGGGAATTTGAAGTGATGACATAAGATAAAGATGTGCTGGCCGTGTTTTTTTGACAGATTCAAGTTCGGTCTTCTAACAAATTTTCAACTTACGTTTTAATTTAATACAACCAAAAAAGACGTTTGTGGAAACCACTAGTGCCTTGTCCAATCAGATCTGTCGTTTGTGGAAACCAATTAGTACATTGTCCAATCAGATCTTTTGTTATTGGTAGCCCATCAGTTCCTTGTCCAATTGGGTCCATCGATGCCTGTGCAAAACCTTTTGGAAAGTTAGTGGGTTGTATAGATATCGCCTTCAGGTGTATTTCTTATCTTTACAACCGACTACCTCACACAAAGGGAACGCTTGTAGACTAAACGGCGGTGCAGCTGACCAATGCAATCGGACAACAGGGGCGGACTCTGCTTGGCCCAAATGGTTCAACAGGCATGTACAGTTTCTACATGATTTTCTTTTTCTTTTTTTTTGGCGGCCCAAGGAGGGAGGGGGGTGTTTGACCGCCTAAACCTCCCCCAAGATTCAACACAAATGACAACCATTCAATGTACAGAAATAAAGCTAACATCAGTTGAACACATTTGACATTCAGGACTTCGTACTTATATGATACACCAGAGGATAACATTGGACACAGAAGCCGCTCCGACAAAATGAACTTGCACAATCAAATTTAAGCCTTCACGATGCAAATTTTGACTGAGGAAAGAAAACGATGGCACTCAGGGATCAGGTTGGCTCAGCGGTGCTTTCCTCGTCTTCCACCTCTGTGATACGGGTTCGAATCCCACCTGGGCCAATATGTGGATTGGGTTTTCAGTCCCTGCCTGATTCTGTGGGTTTCCCTGGAATGTGCTCTTTTTCTAGGGGGAGGGGGTCCCACCCTTCTCTATAACTGTATTTCCAGTCTCATCTTCTACCTGTTAGAAATATGTGTGTCGTAACTACAAGCAGCTAGTCTGTCCACTTAGTCCCTGCAGTTAAAATGACACTCGACTCACGAGGTCCACAAATGCACTACACAGTTCACGCAGGCTACGATTCATGTGCGTATGGCGCAAGACTATGCACAGAGAAGTCACATATGAGGAACACACCTCTGTACGTTGTCACAGCGTCTGTCAAGCGAATCATGACAGACATTGGGAACAACCGTTACATGTACGTACAGTTTGCCACGATCATTTGACAACTGGAACTCTGGGACCAGCTTTACAAGGTTTGCCTTTTCTTGTCAATCGTTTGAAACAACAAAATTGCTCACAATCTTAAGATGGGTGCAAAACAACTGACTTGGTGAAGTTTCAGCTCAGTGGATTCTATACATTTTGAGAAAACAGAAAATGTATGCACAATTTTGGGGTCTCATAACTGGATTCCGTCTCTAACACATATAAAAAAACTGTGCCCGAATGATACCATTTCAGGCAGACTATATTCAGTATTTAGCACCAGTCCTTTCTTCACTTCGAGCAAAACTTTTTTCTCTTTAAATTGGTAGTCACGCTTCCGGGTCATTGGGAATGTTCCTACGAGCCTTTAAAGGGCTACTTGGCACTGAGTTCACAGCCATCAAAATGCTAGAACCATGTTACCGACGTGGTCCATGGCTGTACAGATATCGTGTGCCAGGAGAAGTCGTTCACAAGACATTCCCAAGAAATCACAAGCCATTCCCGAGCCAATCTTAAACATTATCTCAAGTTAAATCACAAGTCAATTTACAAAACATGGTGTTAAGAAAGAGAGGGTTAATATAATGACAGAGCAAGGCTTCTGTCACATTCCATTTGGATAGTTCGTTACTCGACTAGGGACTGGATGGCTTGTGATTGACTTGTAATGGCTTGTGGTTGATTTGTGATGGCTTGTGATTGACTTATGATAGCTTGTGATTGACTTGTGGTGACTTGTGATTGACTTATGATGGCTTGTGATTGACTTGTGATGGCTTGTGATTGACTTATGATGGCTTGTGATGGACTTGTGATGGCTTGTGATTGACTTGTGATGGCTTGTGATTGACTTATGATGGCTTGTGATTGACTTGTGATGGCTTGTGATTGACTTGTGACGGCTTGTGATTGATTTGTGATGGCTCGTGATTGACTTGTGATGGCTTGTGATTGACTTTTGATGGCTTGTGATTGACTTGTGATGGACTTGTGATTGCAATTCTTGCCAGGACTCTTATGTATACATGTACAGGTCAAACCAATGGAATGGTTCATCCATAGGATTTTTAAGTGAGACTATAATCTGGCTCTTGAGGATCATTTCTGAACAAAATCCAAAACCATTCGGGATGTGACTGCGCACCCCTTTAATTAATCCTAGCCACGCCCCCCTCATCTCCATAGGCACCAGCCATGGCCACGGTGTATAGCGCCCTCAACAAATTCATCCACTTTCTGGAGCTCCTGTTAACCTTTTCCTCCAGTAGCTATTCGCTTCCTCCTGCAAGTCCTCCCTGTTCCGTCTGGGCTTGTTCACTCCAGATTCAACAATACACCTGGAGAAAAAGGCAAAGAGTTTTTGCAGTGATTAGTCTGGTGTTGTCCTGTGCAGGATAACGCCTCTTCAACATCACATCACAGATCATGCCCAATATAATAAAACACAGCAGTTGGTTTACATTGCAAACTGCATACACTGCACGATCACTGTATTGTTCTAGGGAAGTGTATTATAATGAATATATCATCAACCGAATATCCACTAGCCTTTTTTTTTTTTTTTTCGATTGAAATATTAGAAATCCACTTTTACGTATGATTTTGGGATTCTGCTGAGGAATATTAACTAAAATTTCTTCTTTAAGATCTTTCAAATATTGGCCATTCCACTACCTATTATTATGTACTTTAATAACATCATTTTATTTACATAACATCATCATTTATCAATTTTCGACAACTGCAGGAGCACGCAAATCCTGACCAGCAGCCGGCCCGTTTAGCCTGCTGCATTTTGACATATAAGCTTAAGCCCGGCACACACCTTCCCAATTTTATTGGTTTCCCAGATCACCCCATCACTGGTACTTTTTTTCCCCCGTTGCGGTCAGACCATACGTTACCCGCACACATGCCCCATTCCATCCTATAATCGATCACATGATGATCAGTCACATGCTGATCAGTCACATGATGACAAGTCACATGGTGACCAGTCACATGATGACAACCATTTGACTTCCTTCGTGTACCGGTATCTGATTGGTTAACTTTATTGCGTCCGGTGAAATCAGATCCGGTGAAATTGGATCCGGTGTAATCGGATGCGAAAAAAATCAAACAGGTTTGAATTCAACCAGTCAGCCGATATACGGTCAGATCGGTCTAAATTTTCAGCGCACACCTCTGTACAATGGCCCGATGATCCGGTGAACCGGTAAAATCACAAAGGTGTGCGCCGGGCTTAAACAGAGAAAGGTCATCAGCCCCAATTTAAATCAGTGTGAATTACATTAACTGATTTCCAGAAGATGTTGCTCATGAAGCAATGTTTCTGCTTAAGTACTGATACTCCAGCTCCAATAAGCCATTTGCGAGTGACCTATACCCTTTGGGATTTAAATGAAAATGAAAAAAGTCTGGTAAACTGACTTGCTCAGAATGCTTGGCACATTTTAATTGTGAATTCTCCAGACCTAAGACACTGTTGCTAATCACATGATTCGGGGCAAGCTCTTGCGTAGTTACGTAAGAGACGCTCAGCACCAATACATCGTTCACAATGGGTGAGAATGGCACAAAGACACCAGACCATGCTGGAGCTGGGGGCGGCTAGCATAAGGCTTGCCCCGAATCACGTGATATAGTAACAGTCTCTTTGGTTGGGAGAATGCAAAGTTAACACGTGCAAAGCATTGGATGAAGTCAGCGTTTCAAATTTTAATCAAATTTAACTCGCAAATGGCTTATTAGTGCAAAGCTTGGTAAGCCAAATGTTAAAAGACTCGTTCAGTTTTAGCTTATGGATTCATATCCTTCTGAAATCTACAGAGGCCAAGGTTGCACACAACACCAAGCTCAGCTTTCATTACACGGCAAAGTATCACACTGTTTGTTTACAAGGGCAGGAAATCAGACATTCACCATACAGCACATGTCCCCAAGGGGACACCATAGTTTTAGGTCAGAGTACTTTTATGGTCCCCCCCCCCCTCCTTTTTTAGCTTTTCTGCAAACTTTGCGGAAATGCCTTATTTCAATTTTTGTAAGTGTTACTCAAGGCTGCAAAGTCCAGACAGGTAATTATATAACCAGCTGCTGGAGACGGAGACTAATTACTTAGGGGTATAATACATGCACATGTTCAAATTTCCAGGCAATGGCTTGCAATTACACACACATGCCCATAGAAGTAGCTAAAGCCATATCCCACAGGCATGTGTGTTACATGTACTAGCCGCAGCCAAGTAATTCCGTTGCAGCCATAGCCCAAAGATCAACAAAGGGCTAGACTTACAAATGTACCATAGTCAAAGCTGTTTTGAATCAACTGAACAATTTGAATATTTGAGCAACAACCGAATATCCAGATAGCATTTTTTTAATTTTTTCAAATATTTGAAAAAGAAATGTGAGAGGTCTCAAGCAGATGATAAAAAACGTCCACGATGTTGTGTTAATCGTATAAGTTTAGCAAATGATTTCAAAGCTTCCATGTGTACTAACTCAAATAGTTCACCTCTAAACACAGTCAGAAATATCAGCTATTCTGATACATGTACCTCTAATTGCCGTAATAAGATATTTGTCAATTTTCGACAACCGCAGGAGCACGCAAAATCCGATCAATGGCTGGTTTAGGCTGGCACGATCAGCGCATTTGAATATTTGAAAAATCAAATACTAAATTATTCGAATATTTGAATAATCAAATACTAAATTAGTCGAAATTGTAATAATCAAATACTAAATTACTTGAATATTTGATAATCTAATACTAAATTATTCAAATATTTGAAGAATCAAATACTAAATTATTCGAATATTTCAATAATCAAATGCTAAATTATTCAAATATTTGAATAATCAAATGCTAAATTATTTGAATATTTGAAAAATCTAATACTAAATTATTCGAATATTTGAATAATCAAATACTTAATTATTCGACAAAGGCACAGCCATACCCAAGTCAAGTGCTCACTAGAAAAAATGAAGCTGGCAATGGTCTTGGCCCTACTTCATAAAAATGAACTGGCAGGGGAAAAAGTTGTGCAACAATCAACTCACAATCAAATAATGTACACTTTTAATGGTATTTAGCAACATTTTCTAATCCACCTGTTATAGTTTTATAAATGCACCTGCTGATGGGGGGGGGGGATTGCCATGCCATTAAATCAGTGCGGTCTAACCCTTGTTAACTGCAGCTTTTCCTGCCCAACATGAGACTGAGCGGTTTCGCATTGTATGCATGCAGTTCTTATCTCTCAGTCGCGAGCGCGCGTGCAGGATCTACACGCGCGCATGGGCAATGCGCATATGAGGTTAACCATTGTATGTGCCTTTTTACAGACTGGACATGTGGCCGTTCTTGACCAATGAAATTACAGTATCCAAGCACACGATATAGGTTGTAACAATCAATAGTATCGTATGGTGACAACATTTTTTTCACACTGAGCAATACCAAATTATGTTGTCAAAAATTCGAATTTTGTCACTGTGATTTTTCCCCTCTCAAATGTGGCCAGATGCACGCAAAAGCCCTTTAAAAAAAAATGACGGAAACAACGTGGCCAGATCTGAACTACATGGATAACTGTTAATAAATTCCTTGCGGTCACTGTATTTTAAGGTGAAATTTGTGTTTACTAGTCACCCAGAAGGGCCTTTGAAGTTCTGCCCATGCTGCCAGTTTGCAGTTTCCCTAACACTTAGTATCTTACTGCATTTTGATAACATAATACGGTATAGTCTGCCCAGAACAGCAGCTAGGTACCAATACCGAATACTGCAATATTTTAGCGACAGTATACTGTTGACTCTCAAAATCCATTACCGGAAAATCCTCCTTTACACACAGATGTACACACAAAACTTTTAAGTTTAGAGAATTCTGCATGCTTGGAGGAAGGTAAAGTACTGCTCGATGCCAAAATGAAAGTCGAAGCACAATAACTTTGCACTGTGATGGGGTATTTAGGAAGGTTCCTTCCAAGAATGCTTCGGGAGTTGGGGTTACGATAAAACCAACCCCATGCGAACCCAGCCGCCAGATTACGTAAAGTAAAGTACAAAAAAAAGAATGGACCGTTTTCAGAATGATTGGCACTAGTTTTTGATAAGACAGCGTGAACCCTGACCTGACTATCCAGACAGTAATGCGTTTTTAAGTGAAAGTCTCTGATATGAAGACGACACAGCGGGTGGCGGTAAACAAGGCTTGGAGTAGCGCCATCAACTTCATGCCAAGTTGTGCCCGGCGGTCATCACGGCTATCACGTACACAATTTGCAAATGGGGTTGGCCACTTAACTACACAATTGCAGAGTTTGCATTTAACCAAAGTCGCATCCAAATTTGGTTGCGTAAAGATACTTGAGTAGCGTTTATGAGAACCAAACACAGTTCTCTGACCTGGGGTTGGGGGTTGGGGTCAGGGTGGGGGTGGGGTTTGGGGATGGGGTGTGGCGGTGGGGATAACAATTCTGACAAATCTCCCCCCTGATTTTCACTTGTTTTCGGCAGATTTAGAAAACTAAATGCCGACTCGTGACTCAACTGAACTTGAATGAGCAAATGACTCGACTGGACTTGACGAGTCACTGCCTTAGAATGATTAGACACTCCTCAAGTCACAAACTTCAGTTTCTCATGACAATGTTAAGAAATGACTCTGGAGCCATCAATCCATTTCACACTTATCGTCTGAATATCGTTCTTCCTAGGCATCCATGCTCGAAAGCTGCAGGGAAATTGGCCAAATTTGAGTATATCCATAATTTACAACCGATCATAAAGTTTTGGCAATAGATCACTATGTACAGATTTGTTCTCCCCATCCGTTAATGGGACTACAAGTGGGTTTTTTGGGGGGTACGAATTTAAGGTAATATAATACAACATTTAGTTTTGCAGTAATTTTCAGAAATAGATGGATTTGGGCGTTAGTATTCTACAGCAGATATTGTAACAATGATCTGTTTGTTTCAAGTTTCCTGTTCACAGATCCTGGAAAGACCAAGGATAAATTCTGCTCTTGTAGTCCTGTTCCTTGACCCTATACTTCAGACAAAACCGGAGCAATTTATATATGTGGGGGAATGGTCAGGTCAGGGAACCAGACTAGCTAGCTTGCACCCGTTCACGGATGTGTAACAGATTGCAAACAAAATTTGGACTGACTAAATATGGTAAATTTGGGGCAGTATTTGATAAAAATCAGGGTTTTTTTCCCCCAAACATGGTCAGCCGACCATCCTTGGAAATTGATACAGAAATTCCACTTTTCTTGAAAATGACAGCATACAGGGTGCCATTACGGTATTTCACAGGATGCTTGAGACTATTATTCACTTACAGTCAAGTACATGTAGGCCCTATTTCATAATAATTTGGCAGTTTTGTTTTTTGATGTTCGCAAATATTGTAATTACCTTTCAAAATGTAATCAAGCAATTCTGCAGTGGATCAAGAGAATAGACAATACCTGCATGGTTCGCACTGTGAAAGCCTGGAGACCGGTGGCCATCGTCCAACAGGGCCTTTTCGCGAGGAATGACGGTCTGATATGTATCGCATGTTGTCCTCAGACTTCTATCTAAAAAAATATCAAGAATAAAGAGGAAGAAAAAGTGTTTGTCAATAAATGCTATACAGCGCATGATTGTACTTTACTCACTCAAAACAAACCCACCTGTTACCAACTACAATGTAGTATCATACATATTCATGAGCGCGAACCGAATTCTTAGTGGTCCATTCAACATCAACGTCTCTCCAATGATCACAAATTTGGGGTGGAAATCACTGGAGGAGCGCAGGGCCATCTTTAAGACTCACACTTCTATACAAGTCAATTCACCACGAAGTACTAGTTGACACAGACCATTACCGAGCTAAATCAGAGAAGGGAGGAATAGCAACATGAAAATCTTCCACAATCGCCTTCACCCATCCATCAGCACAGAAAGATTGCTTCAAATTCTCCTTCATACCAGGGACCCTTGTGGAGTGGAATCACCTGCCTGCAAACATAAGGGAAGCCGCAACTGTTCAAACCTTCACGACCAATCTTGGCGACATCAAGATATCATCTTTAACCCTAAATGGGCTGGGCTATTTTGATCATCCCTCGGGGGAGGGGGGGGGGGGGATTCAGCCCCCCCCCCCCCCCAAGATCTCGGCCATTGAGTGACGAAAAATTTCGAAACTCGGCACATGCATAGAACAACTTATCATGAACATACCCAAGAAATTTCATGACTATAGGTCATAGCGCCGGAAAATTTTTCACTGCACGGCAAAACGTCCGATTTTTATGTTTTTGCTATTAAAGGATGCGCAAGGCTCGAGGCTAAAAATTCACAAATTCAGAACAGCTCGGGTCGCGAACTATTTTTTTTTTTAAGCTATCGCGGAAAAAGTTGACGGGGGGAGGCAGATCCCCCCCCCCCCCCCCGGCCCCTTTAGGGTTACATATCCCGTAGTGGAGATTGTTGCAGTATCCAGCAGATGCAGATCACGTGTGAGCCACTAGCTTTGCTGTTGACCATCGGTGTTTGTGAACCCCATGTAGAAGCCATCATGTGGTAGGCAGGATGCGAGTTCCAGCCAGCCCAGGACCTGTGGATTCGAACCTGTGAATATGAAGCCAACACAAGTTCGGATCTACGGGTTTGGGCGGACCGGAGGTATGAGACACAAGCCTGAACGGGTTCAGCGTGCTACAGGGAAGGACAGCCAGCACAGGCTGCACAAACTTTGCCTTAAAGATGCCATATTTCAATTTTGTGATCACCTTCCTTTATTCTATGAGCAAGTTCAATCAGGGACCATTGGTCCAGGTTCTCACAGAAATCTTAAAGAAAATTCCGTAACTTTTCCATTCATGACTTTTCCAGGACAAAATAAGGCTTTCCATGACCAATTCCTATGCTGTTTTGGCATCTCAGGAGCCCATTGCTCTAGAAGCAAGGGATGCCACTCCCTTTCAGCCTTCCACTGTTCCGGTTTGACACGAGACCTTCGAGCACCACAAAACATCAATGATGCACTGCACATGCAGCAAGTATTAGAGCATACATGTTTGCATTTAGAAGAAGTATAGTAAAAGTGGAGTGTCATGGCCTAGCAGTTAAGAGCACCAGAATCATGTTCTGGTGTTTCAGAGGCAACAGTGATGCCGGTTCGAGCCCGGGCGCGGTCACTTGTGCTCATAAGCAAGGCACTTAACCATTCTTGCTTCGTCCTTCGGATGGGACGCAAAGCCGTAGGTCCCGTGTGTTGTATAAGGCCTAACGCACGTAAAAGAACCCAGTAACGCTTATCGCTAAGAGAAGGGGTTCGCTCCGGTGTTTCTGGCAGGAAGGATGTGTATGCCCTGCCCGTGTGACCCCTGAGAAGGGGTGTTGGTGCAGTATTCATCAAGACAAGACAAGAAACTGAAAAACTGCCATAGCCAAATATTATGAATCTTCACGTATGGGTTGTGAAGGATTCAATGACTTTTCAATGCCTTTTTTCTTGGAATATCAACATTCCATGACTCCTTGTAAAGTACCAAAATTCCATGTCTTTTCCAATACGTCCTGTATGATGGCTTCCAGGATTTTCCAGGATTTTTCCATGACTGTGGGAAGCCTGATTGGTTGACAAGTGGATGGGTTATGACGTACATGTCTAACTCGTGCATTTCTAGTCAAAACATCGTCACGAAACCTCTTGGTCCTGGCAATCTGATGCACATTATGTTGCACGGGGCTATTGTAACCTCTGCATACGGTAGGCACAATCCTGGCCAAATCTCGCTGCCCCCCCCCCCCCCCCCACTCAATGTTGTCTCTCATTGCGCGGTGTGTGCTCTATCAGCTGGAGAGAACAACACTGACCGGGGGAGTGGGTGACCGTGGGAGGCTAAGGTTATTTCCAAGTGTCCCAACCAATTTGGCCGGGATTGCAGGTCCCAAAATGTCGACTAGACTAGTCCAACAATCGTTAACTAACCAGTGTTTGTTCAGAGTTAGTTGAACTATCTACGTGTACCGGTATATGTAACCCCTTAATACCGGTAGTTCCCCAGGACTACCCAGCTAAATCCAAAATTTCTCAGATTCCTAATCAAAATCTGTTTTGAAACCTTCCTAAAAGATAGCCCTCAAGAAAGTACTGCGGACCAAAAGCTCAATATTTGCCCCTAAAAACAAAAGATATTTTTGCTGCTTCACAGAACAACAATACAATAAATCGAAAGCAGGTTATTAAAAATGAACCTGTTGAAATTTACTCAATAGATATCATACGTTGAACGAACTTTCATGCTCGAGATATCATACTGTTTGAGAAAACGGTGAAAAATAATGCATCTTCCTTTTTCTCTTGTGATTATGACCCAGTTAGTCACTCGGGAAAATAATTCTCATTCATGAATAAAATATGTAACCGATTGCAAATTAAACTACATGTAAATTCAGTCAGTTGGGAACATTATTCGAAAAACAGACTTTATTTCTCGCGATGGTTTGGTCCTTACCATTGCAAGGAAATGAATGTACCAGTAATTCCTCTTTTCTTGAAAATGGTATCACAGGATACGTGATCCAATTATTTACTTACAAATGTACATGTACATGTTAGTATAGGGCTTAAGTAGGATGTTTCATAACAATTTGGCAGTTTCATTCATGAATGTTTGCAAATGTTGTCTAGATTTACCTTAAATTTGTACCTTAAAGGGAATATACAACATTTGCAAACATTGAAAAATAAAACTACCAAGTTTTCACGAAATACCTTACTAGGATGTTGGTAAATGACAGTCTCAAGCATCTTGTAAAATTTTGGCACCTGGTGTTAAGTCCTTTTCAAGAAAATGGTATTTTTGTAAACATTTCCAACGGTGGTCGGCCGACCAGTGTTGGAAAAACCTAACTATTTTTCAACTACTGCTCCAAATTTACCATTTTTTCAGTCCAAATTTTATTTGCTATTGGTTACATGTTCATGAACGGGTGCAGGCCAGCTAGACTGGTTCCCTTGCCTTACAACTTTCCATCATCTATAACTTGATCCATTTTATCTTTTGTGGAGTCAGGGAACCAGACTACTTGAAAATTTTTGTTTTTCTTGGTTTTTCCAACCTTTTCGAACACAGAACTTCAAAAATGTCAGTGTAACAATATTTGATCTATTATACTAACCTCTCAAATAGTTCATTTCTGAAAATTACAGCAAAAGCCAATGATGTACATTCCCTTTAACTCTCCTGTGGTTTGACCATGGATTCAAAACCCCTCAAAATCTGGGTTCTGGCAAATTGGAGGACAAAAAATGCAGGACCTTTTAAAATCCTCCAGAATTTATTGTTACTGCACTACCACACCTTTCAATTTCTTTCGAAAGGTATTGAAAGGCAACTTACTGAATTTGCCCACAGAGTTGCTTCACCTTCCGAAACCTTTCGAAAAGTTTCAAAGTTCCAGCACTATTTCACCTTTCAAAACCCTTTTAGTCAGGCAAATTTAAAATGTTTTGAAAGGTCTGATAATTCTCTGCCAACTGCACTGGGCATAGGAACTTTCTTTTTATTCAAGTGGCAATTTTATCAAATTGGTAACATTATACATACATGTTGAACATGTCAGGGCCCAATTGGACGGCGCTGCTTAACAGTTAGCAGAAAAGTTGTGCTTAGCATAGCAGAAAAATGTGCTAACCTTAAGCACTATTTCACGGCGTGTGTGTGCTAACGGTCGCGCGTGCATGGAGATTTTTTATTGTTACGTAACTGAGTTCAGCAAATTTTTCCTCTGAGGTAAGTGTGCCTTTTGCTGTGCTTATGCTTACGGTCTCCATGAAATAGACAGAGGCTCTGTTAGCATAAAATTGTGTGCTTAGCAGCGCCGTGAAATTGGGCCCAGGGCTACCGGTATAAATCATAAGCGCTAATGCGATTTGTTTTACCATGCATGCAAAACTGCATATATCAGTTTTCATACACTTCTATAACACTGACCACCTTTTCTTTTTTTTCCCCTCGAGTTTGCTCTACCCCCGCTCTTTAACATATTAAATGTTTTTTTTCTCCTTCCAACGAATTTCCAATGTGTATGTTTTATTTGATTGGAAAAACTACTCTTTTTTTCCTTCTGTTTTTAGACATTTGCATACTGTTCTACATCAGTGGTACTGATCACCTTTCTTCAACATAATTTTTCTTTTCTACTAACGAATTTTTCAATTTGTATGTTTTATTTAATTGGAACAACTACTCTTTTTTCTTCTTCTGTTTTTAGACATTTGCATACTGTTCTACATCAATGGTACTGATCACCTTTCTTCAACATAATTTTTTTTTCTACTAACGAATTTTTCAATTTGTATGTTTTATTTAATTGGAAAAACTCCTTTTTTTCTGTTTTTAGACATTGCATATATCTCTATGACAACTGACCACCATTTTCCCTTGCATTTGCTCTACTTATGCTCTGCAACATATTCCATTTTTTTCTGCTACACAAATTTCCAATTTGTACATGTATGTTTTATTTAATTGGAACAACTACTCTTTTTTCTATTTTTGGGCATTTGCATATACTTCTA